ATTAAATGTATTGAACCTTGACTTTAAAAGCAAAACAATCGTTTGATTGATCAAGATTAACAATCAGTACCATGCGATACTGTGGTTATATATGTTACAAAGTCAGTTGATGTAGTAAAAAGTGATATTTTTAAGGTGGCAATGAAACTATGGTTGAAACTTCACAGCACTGTAATTAAACAACAAAGAAACAAAATTAATTCAAACTTTACTGGATAACACTATTAGAAATTCATTGTCCTGTATGTTGCAAATTACTCAAGCTAATTGTGCTATTATCGTGTTAAAAGACCATCTATTTCCAGAGGTAACTTTTCATTTGTTTTTTTAATCTTCAAGATCGATTGGCTGTTCAAACCTTGAGAATAAAAAGTTATTTTTTTTGTTTGCCAAACAAATAACAAAAACAATGTACTGTTTGAAACTCAAAACAGATACCATCCCTATTTCAAAACTTGGGAAAGATTATGCAAACATTTTCTGCTCCAAGCTATTTTGATTCTCTTGCTGATGTCAAGATCCAAGGCAAAGAAATTGTTTCTTTATCTTCTAAATTAACAGCAGAGGAATTCTTTCAATTCATCATGATTTAATATTTACGAAATCATTGCAAAAGGTCTTTTCCATTTTTCGCTCACATTTGGACAAAAGGAAAAGTGTAGCAAATACTTTGAAGTAAAATAAGTGATTTCGATCTTGTACGAATTTTGTTCGTAAACTTGACAGTGCCACCTTTCAAATATTCTCATATTTGCTCCATCAACTGATAAATTGTTGTTGACAAGAGAACACAGACCTTCAAGTTACAATGGAAAAATCCTCTATCGTAAATTTTTCTTGAACTCAAAGGCCTACTTTAAAGAGGGGTCTTGGCTAAATTCAATACTATCCAATTCAGTTGCATTTTCGTTTGGCACGTGGAAAATTAAATTCCTCTACAAATATCAAATCCACCTTAAATATGACGTTGAAAACGTATTTTCAGTCTCTTGCGAAGATGTGAATCTAAAAGACTCTTTCAGAGATTGTAAAGTTATGTTCTCCAAATTGATTGATCGCACGAGTTTAAATTTAGCACGGGATTGCTTCATCATCAACTCTCGAGCTAATTGTGACATTATCGTGTCTAAGTTTGTTTTTTTTGCTCGGTAAATTTCGGATCCTTAACACAAATATTTCCAGAAACATTTGAAAACGTTTCATTATCCTGTTGGTTTAAAATAATTAACGAAGAAAAAAAAATTTATTGGATTATGAAAATTTTAAATCAATCACTCTATCGGTCAATCAATCAATAAATCTTTCAAGCAATCGGCGAATCGATCCAGACATTAAAGGGCATAAAAAATAATTTGTGAAGATTTAATGGATTAATGGATTACAGTCCTTGCTTTCCCTCTCAGCCATTTTCTATTATTCAATAATGTCAGCTTGCCGAGGGAAATCTTTCACCATAAATGTTCGAAACTGATTTAAGGAGGCTTCGGCCAATTAATCAATACATCTTTCAAGCAATCGGCGAATCGATCGAGACTTCATGGATTACAGTCCTTGCTTTCCCTCTCAGCCAATTTCTATTATTCAAGAATGTCAGCTTTTCTTAATAAAACTTTCACCATAAATGTGCGAAACTGATTTAAGGAGGCTTGTAAAACTCTCCACAAAATTTGTTTGACTGGCAGTGCAGCATCACAGGATATTAAAACATTTATAAACGTGATTCCATCTTTTCTTTATAGCATTAAAATATTGTCCCCAAAAATGAATCAGTTTGGGAGTTCGCAGTGCATCTCTATCCATTGCGTTATCCTGGGATATGTTTCCACCTCACAAAATGCTAAATTGAACTAACCTCTTCAAGGAGCATTATCTTGTAGTTGTTCTTTTCTCCTAGGCTCGTTTGATGACTTCCTGCTTGTGTCATGTCTGCGTGACTTTGCTTTTGCCTGGTGAGAGATGAACACTACATGAATGCGTGAAGTGTGACGTGCATGATAAATACAAAATAAGTTTCCAGATCTAAACGAATGGAGAAAAACTTGATGAAGTTGACATAATGAAATCCAAAGGGTTTAAAATAAAAATATCCCCATAGCTTTAACTCACATCATCATTGCTCTAAACCCGACTTATTTTCTCTCTCATCCCAAAATAGGACGAACCCCTCCCTCCTCACAAATTTTCCACACCCACCCCGTCGGTATATTATGAACTTCCCTTTGACTTACAAACCTATCAGTAGTTTTAAAAATCCACTCTGAAAATCATAGCGAACGAATAAAATACATTTGTTTACACCACTGAAGTAATTCTTAAATACAACGTTTTGTTAATTACCTCTCAGCAAGCGATTCCACGACATCGAATATGCACGTGTTGGCGGCCATCGTTTCGCAGCAAAGTTCTTGTAAAACATCAACTCCACTTCGGTTTGTTCAAACCTCACCAGAAGGACTCTATCCAACATGAAGATATGGACCATTCTCCATGCTAGCAACGTTGACGTAACAGTTTTCTTCACCCAACAAAAACTAACGGAACGACGTTTAGATTGTCTTCGTTCGCTTCGCTCCTTCCTCGTGTGAGATGAATTATTGAATATTAATATGCAGAATTTTATTTGCAATTCAAATGCGTATCTTTGATTTCTTGGTACAAAGGTCGAGAACAACAGCTACTAGGATCCTTCCGTCTTTTCTTACGGAAATAAAAATTTTAACTAACGTTTTCTGACGCGAGCGCTCAATCTCTGGCCATTTGTTATCATCAGCAAGACAACATACAGATAAAAAATTTTTGTGCGCACTCAGTCGAGACTGCCATCAGGATATGGTCTAATTTTANTTTAAAAATAATTAAAAAAAGAAAAATGAAATTCGTTTGTTCACGTATGAATTGTTCGTTTATATGGTGTCGTTCACTGTCGACTGACAATTGGGGCCCCTCTTACAGTACGCCTTTGAGTTTAAACAGCGAAGGCGGCAGGAAGTGACTTGTTGTTTGGCTTGATATAGTTAAGAAAACCTACGGACTGCTAAGCGCCTGTGTTCTCTTACAGTTTCGGGGCTTTGTATATAAAACCATAATGCCTGGTTCCGGAGTATTTAGACGGTTTCAATAACTCGGAGCTTACAGTTACACAGACCTCAAAATGAAGATAATTTTTTGACAAACAACAAATCATGATTACTTGTTCACAGTCAAGAGTATAGATAAACAGAAAAACCAGAAGGATTCGGTAACATTATTCCTGCTATGTTTTACTTAAAAGTGTCTCGAACTTCGTGTTTTTGGAAATATATTTGTAACATCACATTATGTAAGGATCGATTGGCTGTTGAAACAATGACAAAAAAGAGTTCATGTTTGCCAAAGTTGAATAACAAAAAAATGTAAGCAAATAACAGCCCTGTCACAAAATTTAGGGAAGATTATGCAAGTATTCTCCTGCTCCAAAACTATTTTACTTCTTGTTGTGATTTCAAGATTTAAAGCAAAGAAATTGTTCCTTTATCTTCTAACTTAACAGGAGAAATAATAGTTTTATTTTCTTAATTTACCATGATTAAATATTTACAAAATCATTGCAAAAGATTTCCTTTTCCATTTTTAGCACACGTTGGATCAAAAGAAAATTCAAACGATCAAAATTTTGTTTTTCAAACTGAATTCGATATCTTCACTGAGGTCTGTATAACTTAGAACGTTTTGTTGTTTATGTTTACACGCGTGTTTTTAGCAGAAAAATTCTTGGTAGGAAGGTGAAATAAAAACAACGCGTCCGTTTGTTAAACCAGGCATTCGTTTTATCACAAGCTCTTAGTTAATTATTAAGTATAAAGAACCTTTTTCTATCGGCGATCAATGTAACACAGGACAAAGTATCCATAGGAACTTAAGTAAAAGAACTGAATTTGGAGCTTTGATTTGTTAATCTTATTGCCTGAAAAATTCTGAATTCTGCCAAGATGTTTTCTCAAAAATTACATAACAAAAGGCATGGAGCTAAGCAATTGTCATATTTCTGAGCCCTCGTGGCAAAAATTACACTTTAATTTTCCCATGTCACTGCTACAACTTACAGAATTTGAATTTTTTACTCCAAATAAACCTGCATGTCTCAAATGTTGGGTAGATTTTCTTAGAGTTAAATATCTCCTGTGTTACAAAGATTGTCGGCTTTAAAAGGTCTTTTATCAGACGCAACATGGCAAGCAAGAGTAGTTTAGAAGTAAAAAATTGGAAATATTATCGAGAATTTGAAATATTTTCGCGATAAGCCGAACGATGCATTTTTCAGAGCAGAATATACCTTGTCATGTTGCCTGTCTTATTATATGTACACACCATTTCGTACAAGAAATTTGTAAAACTTAAGGATTTTGGAGATATTTTTTCATCCAAAATTGAATTTAGAAAGAATTGGAAGTTTATTCTTTGTGCCAGAAAACGTTTTGCACGAGGTGGCGTTTACATATTTTTGGCGGGAAATTTTAAGGGAAGCCATTTTGAATTTTTTTGCCGAGAATGTTGTCAGGGGAAACGCTGTGCAAATGTTTTCCAATTTTCCCGCCAAAAGTCTTAGTATATAAAGGGCAAATTTTTTCTTCACACATTTTTAATAAATTAACTGATTATTACTTAACTAATTAAAGAATATTTAAGTTGAATAAAGCTTATTGAAATGTGAAACACTCGTGCTTGATTACTTGATTTAATTGTATAATAAAAGATCACCAAGAGCACATTATATTAAGTATTGCTTTTATTGACTTGACTGTAATATTATTATAACAAAGACACCCAGACAAGAAGCAAGTTTACTTTATTGACAATATAATTAGAAACTACGGGCGCTTAAAATACGCATGCGCCATTTTTTTTAAAATATAAACTTTTTAAGTTTTTTGGCGGGAAAATTAAAAATAATGAAACAGATGTTACTTACAGCAATTAATTTTTTTAAAAAAATTGGCGCATGCGTATTTTGAGCGCCCGTATTTTTTCTAAGTTTTTTGGCGGGAAAATTAAAACTTTTTAAATAGATGTTAGCATGGAAATAATCACAGCAAAAAAGTTAATGGCACTTCTACTAAGACATTTTCTACAACTTCACACGAAGTTCAGATTTCGTAAACAGCTTGAAACAATCTTGCAAACAGGAAATTTGTACAGCTATTCTTTCTGAGAAGTCTTGAAATAAGAGAAATCTAGATAATTTTGTTTCGCACCTCTGCTAAAAAAAATTTAAGCAAATTTCTAAACTTTGCACTGGGTAAGTTTTGAAAAATCAAGACAATTTAAACTACGTTCTTTCCCAGTGGTCTTAACAAAAATAAAACCAAACGAGACAATTGTAGCTGAGAGTCCTTCCGAGTAATTGTAATTTAATTGAAGCCTACTGTTTTCGCATATTTTTTCTACCTGACCATTAAACTTGACTTTTACTTGCGGAATTCTTGATTCTTGATCCATGATCCGGTCCCCTGTAAATAAGAATAACACGAGAAATCAGAAAATCGTTTCGGTAAATTAGATTTGCATAATAGCTGCTGGTTTCGCACCGTAAAATATAATTTACGGCCAAGCACCGTTTACAGGAGTAACTCTTTGTTCAACTTCTGACTCAGTCAAGATGACCGCCTATTTAACATCGATATGATATGGACAATTCAGCGCAACTTAATGTGTATTGCAAACGGTGCAAGAGGCGATACGATTTATCTCACGAAAGAACTGTCCTGCAAATATGTCGCTTGAAAAGTAAACAGCTATCAAATAACTTGGCGTTTTTCATCGACCGTAACCGATTAAACTCGTTTAATTTCATCCATGAATGTTTTAAAAGCGTTACAAATTTACTGCCTTTATTTTTGTGATATTTTTGTTTCATTACATTCTGAAGTGCGTTTAATTCACGCGGCGTTAGCGTCAACAATTTGCCGCAACTGCTATCATTCTAAATTTACATTTTGCATCGGAAAGGCGTGACTTTGGAAAGTGTTATTTCTTTTATAGCGGACTGCTTGTTCAAATTTTAATAATTTTACTTCAGACGACCTCAAATCTAAAAAGCATTTAAACAAAAGCAATGGAGCCTTGGATAAAATTTAATCCCATGAACTATTTGAATTGATATTCAGCAATATTAGAACCTGAACTACAGCGTGAATAAGACATTAATCAGCTAACCTCGTTGACGTACGTGATCCGAAGTTGTCCTCCTCTCTGAAGAAGCCCTTGATAGTTTTCACGCTGCGATCCATGCTTGTCATCTGCCTGAAGGGGGATAAGTATCATGATTTCAATGCTATGCTGGGTGGCGCGCCCATCCCTGATTACGAGGGTAAGGAAACACTTGTATTGCTGATTTCCCTGGATGGGATGCTGCTGATGGGGTGTGTTGCTGATTACTCCCTAGCAGTTTATTGTCCAGCAGTTTACCATTACCAAATGGAGAGAGAGGGACTGTGTGTGATGCCGAATGTCCTCCCGCAAACACAATCCAAAGTACCCAGCCGGGACTCGAACCCGGACTTGTCAGTCAGGAGTGAAACACTAAACCATTAGGCCTCTACCCCACCCATGGATTTGAGAAAAGTGGAGCAAATTGCATTCAATTAAGAAAAAAATCATTCTCTCTTAGCTCTCAGGACATTTATATCTCTTCCCTCTGCTCAAAGGAAAAATTCCATTCAACCATATGATTAACATAGGGCTATATAAGGCCGTGTATTTTACTGCATCTAGAGGCAATGGCATACAAATCGATTATAGGAAATGATCCCTTCTTTCAGCAAAGGGTCTTGAATAGAAGGCGAGTGGGTTGTGCCACACCTCCAAAGGGGTTGCCTCTTTTCAGGCAAAGCAAGCAAAACTAATAGCTACATTTCACAACCGACGCGCTAAGGTGGAAATATTTATCATGTTATAACACTTACCACAGTGTAATTATTAACGTCTGTCTTTGTGACCCTCCATCCATGTCTGAGAATCCTCTCCAAATCCTATGTCATCACGCTAGCACCAGGCGTGATACAAGAAAAAGTTAAGGAAGGTTAGATTAACATTTCACAACTACTGTACATAACATAGAGAAAGTAGCCCCCCTAATCTCCCACCAAGACTGAACGTATTCGTCAGTAGTGACAGAAATTGTTTCTCCGGCTCGAGAAGTGGGAGAGCACAAGAACAAAATGAATTTGCCTGCCACGCCAAATCTCTGCCATGTCCCCTTGTCGAGCGCGTTAAGTGTTGACTCCAATAACAGGGTCGAAGGAGATTAACTGCGAGAGATAGACGACAAAGAAAACAACTCCCGAATGTACGGAAAGAGGCAAAATGGAGGATTATTCCTTTAATTTTTAGTCTTAAATCAATCACACTATCGGTCAATCAATCAATGAATCTTTCAAGCAATCGGCGAATTGATCGAGACATTAAAAAGCATCAAAAATGATTTGTGAAGATTTAATGGGTTAATGGATTACAGTGCTTGCTTTCCCTCTCAGCCATTTTCTATTATTCAATAATGTCAGCTTGTCGAGGGAAATCTTTCACCATAAATGTTCGAAACTGATTTAAGGAGGCTTCGGTCAATTAATCAATAAATCTTTCAAGCAATCGGCGAATCGATCGAGACTTGATGGATTACAGTCCTTGCTTTCCCTCTCAGCCATTTTCTATTATTCAATAAACATGTCAGCTTTTCTTAATATAACTTTCACCATAAATGTGCGAAACTGATTTAAGGAGGCTTGTAAAACTGTCCACAAAATTTGTTTGACTGGCAGTGCAGCATCACAGGATATTAAAACATTTATAAACGTGATTCCATCTTTTCTTTATAGCATTAAAATATTGTCCCCAAAAATGAATCAGTTTGGGAGTTCGCAGTGCATCTCTATCCATTGCGTTATCCTGGGATATGTTTCCACCTCACAAAATGCTAAATTGAACTAACCTCTTCAAGGAGCATTATCTTGTAGTTGTCCTCTCCTAGGTTCGTTTGATGACTTCCTGCTTGTGTCATGTCTGCGTGACTTTGCTTTTGCCTGGTGAGAGATGGACACTACATGAATACATGAAGTGTGACGTACACGATAAATACAAAATCAGTTACCAGATCTAAACGAATGGAAAAAACTTGATGAAGTTGACATAATTAAATCCAAAGGGTTTAAAATAAAAATATCCCCATAGCTTTAACCCACATCATCATTGCTCTAAACCCGACTTATTTTCTCTCTCATCCCAAAATAGGACGAACCCCTACCTCCTCACAAATTTTCCACACCCACCCCGTCGGTATATTATGAACTTCCCTTTGACTTACAAACCTATCNACTAACCTCTTCAAGGAGCATTATCTTGTAGTTGTTCTTTTCTCCTAGGTTCGTTTGATGACTTCCTGCTTGTGTCATGTCTGCGTGACTTTGCTTTTGCCTGGTGAGAGATGAACACTACATGAATGCGTGAAGTGTGACGTGCATGATAAATACAAAATAAGTTTCCAGATCTAAACGAATGGAGAAAAACTTGATGAAGTTGACATAATGAAATCCAAAGGGTTTAAAATAAAAATATCCCCATAGCTTTAACTCACATCATCATTGCTCTAAACCCGACTTATTTTCTCTCTCATCCCAAAATAGGACGAACCCCTCCCTCCTCACAAATTTTCCACACCCACCCCGTCGGTATATTATGAACTTCCCTTTGACTTACAAACCTATCAGTAGTTTTAAAAATCCACTCTGAAAATCATAGCGAACGAATAAAATACATTTGTTTACACCACTGAAGTAATTCTTAAATACAACGTTTTGTTAATTACCTCTCAGCAAGCGATTCCACGACANTCTGAAAATCATAGCGAACGAATAAAATACATTTGTTTACACCACTGAAGTAATTCTTAAATACAACGTTTTGTTAATTACCTCTCAGCAAGCGATTCCACGACATCGAATATGCACGTGCTGGCGGCCATCGTTTCGCAGCAAAGTTCTTGTAAAACATCAACTCCACTTCGGCTTGTTCAAACCTCACCAGAAGGACTCTATCCAATATGAACATATGGACGATTCTCCATGCTAGCAACGTTGACGTAACAGTTTTCTTTACCCAACAAAAACTACGGAACGACGTTTAGATTGTCTTCGCTCGCTTCGCTCCTTCCTCGTGTGAGATGAATTATTGAATATTAATATGCAGAATTTTATTTGCAATTCAAATGCGTATCTTTGATTTCTTGGTACAAAGGTCGAGAACAACAGCTACTAGGATCCTTCCGTCTTTTCTTACGGAAATAAAAATTTTAACTAACGTTTTCTGACGCGAGCGCTCAATCTCTGGCCATTTGTTATCATCAGCAAGACAACATACAGATAAAAAATTTTTGTGCGCACTCAGTCGAGACTGCCATCAGGATATGGTCTAATTTTAAATGCCAGTAAGAGTTGCACGTATGTCCAGAAATGAGAAATTTAGTAACGGCCGTAATTGTTTTAAGCACTGTTTATCAGGTACTACGCCTTCTTAAATTTATATAAACAGTTTATTCTGTGCAAACATTACTTGCTTGCACCCCGGGTCAGCAGAGGGCTTAAAGCTGCACCCTCAGAAAAAAAAACTTTGGGTCGTTTATTCGATGGACCTCAAACTTTGCCCCAAACAGTCGTATCGTTTTTGTCTTCTTGATTTTAATGGTTTTTGGCGGGAAAATGACGTGACAGTTTTACAGGCAAATTTTCATTTCCCTGTTCTAGCACAAAGAGTACATGACTCTGAAAGAGCTAGTTTCGATAAAGCGAAATGCGAAAAAAATATTGAAAACGTTCAGTCCGTCTTGAATATGTAACGTTTGTAAGTTTTTTTCCCCGATTTTCTTATTTTTAGAACATTTACAAAATTCAGATAGCTCACATAAACGTGTGTATAAAGGTAGTTTCTCTTTCTTCTCAACCAGGGGAAGAAACAGTTACGCTATTTAAAGAATAGGGAAGCTTACAACCACCTATTATACTCTGGTAAAACATGCCATTCAAAGCGGGAGCAGAATCCAAACTGTACAATGTTAAATAATATTCATACAACACGCCAGAGAAACTTTATGTGAATCAACAATTTTATTCCCTATTGTAATAACAATTGTAAAAATAATGTTCTTTTTTTCTAATAGAAATAACATTGGAAAACAGTTTTGTATTCTTTTAACCTGTTAACTCCTCAGGTTCGTCTCAAAATATTTCTTAACTGTTTTTCATACATTTCCAATAATTCCCCTTGTTGGAGAATAAAAAGTTAAGTTAGATATGACAGTATGTATTATCGGCTGGCTTAGCGTATTCAAAAATATAAGCAACTTCCACTCTAAGTCTTTAAGACAAATATTTTACCGAACTAATATCCAGACCAAATGACAATTGCCTTACATCCTTACTTGTCATTTTACTTGGGTACTCGAATTGTGCCACAGCACCAATATTAAATGAATCTGTGGTTATTTCCAAAACAATTTATTAAATACTTCCTTGTATTCTAGCCTTTGCAGCTGGTGGCTATCCGCAATATATTTGACACACTAATTGGCAGAGAACCCTGGAAAACGAGTGGCGAAGTTATCCGCGAGAGGAATGGACAGAGGGGACATTCTCCTAATCCCCATACCCCTCGCGGTTTCTTCAACCGCGTCTTTCCTTTGCCATCGCGCGCAATTGCAGGTTATTGAATTGTCGTGAAATGTCGTTTCACTTCCTCTTGAAATCTTAGTCCTTGTATTAGCGAGTGTTTTTCCTGACATTCCTCAGAACAGATTCACGTCATGTCGGTCAGCGGATCTTCACGGCAGTTGATAGCGTATATGAGTTTCTCGGTCATTTTTTCCTGGGTCGAGTACTGAGGTAGTTTCACCATGAACATACATGTCTCCACGCGTATATAGCGCGCGTCTGAAGCACCTGAAAGTTGAGATAACCCGGACGTAATGAAAGCGCCAAGCACTACGTTTTATCACACTATAAACGTAAAGAACAAAGCCAGAAAAAAAAAATGAAACTGGGCAGCAACAAATCAATTGTGTTGATATTGACGCAAGTACCAAAATGAACCGTTCACCACAGAGAAAGGAAAGAGACGATGAAAATACTAAGCACGCAGTAGTTGATTGAATGGGCCCCCATTTTTTTTCCCAACCCCGTCTCTATAAGCTCCCTCACACCCTTCCCTTTAAGGCTTTGAAAATAAACACGCCCCCTTACCCCTAGCGTATTTTAAAATACAGTTTTTACGGCACCCTTCGTCGTCCTGTGCAGGATTTTTGGTTTTGTTTGGTATTTTAAACAAACCCAGGAACAATTAAATATATCCTCATAACGAGAACGATTAAAACTAAGACTTACCTCTGCCGTCAGGCGGACCAATCTTCATGGGGTACGGTGGCACGTGTACATCAGCTGTATGGGGATTACCATCCTGACACGTGCAGCGGCTTGGTAACCGCTCTTGATTACAGGCAAACTTAACAAATTTTCGCAGCTGGTCCTGGGAACGAATAAAGCAAAAACTCATGTGAAGCGAGAAAATGACGTTTTCTTGGTTATCAACAACTGAATAATAGCGATGAAAACCTTATATTATTTCATAAAGTGGGTACCTGAGAGAAACTTTCCATGGAATTCCAGAAGTATTCGATATGTACATCCGTATCTTTGACTCCAGCTACGTAAGCTGTGTGGGCCTGGAGAACGAAAGCAGAAATCAGTGAGCTTGACTACCGTAGAATCACAGATAGGGAGGATTAAAATTACAAGCAAGGATTAGTTACATACATGCAGAGAAATGCAGCCTGTTCAAATGATGTAGTACAAGAGATACTAAGGTTGTTGAACAACTGAGAAATACGTGTAACAAACCTTAAGAAACCCCAAATCAAGAGAAGGCTGCCCACAGGTACGAATTTCCATGTCCAGCGGTGTCATGACCGTCAGTACATGCAAAGGGACCACTGAAGACAGGCCACAGCGAACGGCCGCCATACGGGACTCACACCGCAGCTCCTTGAGTCGTAGATCCCTGATGGCCTGTACGTAAGATTTGTGATTTTCCCATCTGTGACAAAGAACGACAAACTCAACTCGAAAAGACGGTAACAGAACGTAAAGCTCCAGATCAAAGGTTCAATCTGCAGGGCCCTCCGATCAAAGAACGTGACGGGTCCTTGATTGTTAGCGAAATCTAACGAACACGCATACGCAAGCGTGTCCCTCTTTGATTTAACTTTAGAAGAGAAGTTAAAAACACTTCACACATCCTCTTTGACGAGCAGACTCAACTATCGCTAAAAGACGGTTTGAGAAAATACCAAGGTTCAGAATTTTACTCACTTTGTTATCAACTTGAAGTTAAACGCCATGGCACAATTGAAAAGCTGGGGAAAGCCTCAACACTCTAAAGTCAGATTTGGAATTTGTAACAGTGGTTTACTTCAAGTTGATAACTCTTTCAACGCAGCGCAAAAATTTCTCTAGGCAGACTTTTTTTCCCTCTCTCTCTAAGCTCGGTATTTGTAAAGTATTATTACGTCTAAAAAACAGCAAATTTCATCATGATTGTTGATGGTTACTGCAGGTATAAGACAGTTAAGTGTGGAGGTAAACACTTACGTTACAGCGACATTGGCTCCATCTTTACACAGTTCCACTTCCTCGCCGTCAAGAGATGTGTAAACAAATCGGTACGGACACAGATCTGCTTCAAAACACAACGTCTGAAACTCTTCTATGTTCTCCACCTACAAGACAAAGAACGTACAGCTTCAAACCATGCCACACAACAAGCAAGCCAGTTTGCAGTTTCCGTGCCATTTTATTTGAACAATACATTTGAGCAAAAAATTTGAGGAACGCACTTCTGTGTTAAAAAGCGCGCAATCTCGTGGTTAGCTCTATATACATTTTCCACAAAATTTTCACATTTTGACTCCCGTATCACAGCCTACGACAAGGTCTTGTACCGCCACTGAGCGTCTTTTTAACAATATTTTAAACATTTACTTGTAGTTTAAAGGACGCTACGCAGTTTCTTCAATAATAAGGTCTTAAAACTACCTTGCTGCAACAGTATGGCTACATCGGAGCAACATGGTTTTCTGAGCATTTTAAAGAGGCTGTAACTCACCTCTGAGAAGCGCCGTAAATAGTTGTAGGTGAGAACATCTGTTTCTCTGAGATTGTCATGCGGGTCTAGCGGCAGGTTCAACAGGCTTTTCCAGAAGCACGGCAACAAATCCAGAGCGAGGGGAATATCTGATCGTAATGCAATCCCTAACAGCTGTGAAAAAATGTCGTAAGTCGTTACGATAGAAGCGGTTTCTTTCAGTCTATTGGTTAAAGCTGGGTTCGTAAACGGGTTATCGCCGGAAGAAATCACATCCTTTTTAGAGTTCACTTTGTCTGAACTAGAGACCTGGGCCCTGTTTCTCGAAAACCCCAGAAACTTTTCAGGCCCGCAAAGCCATTTTTAGATAATCTGTACCTAAAAACAGAGAGTTCTATACCCCTGAAACTCCTTGTATGAAGAGAACCTCTGTTCATATTAAGAAAATGTGAATAAGACAGCTCTGTAATCAAAGGCTTTGAGATTTTGCTACCACTTTCCGGGTGCGAAAACGTTTCGGAACCTTCGAGAAACGGGCCCCTGCGCCGAGTTATTCTGAACCCGGTTATCGCTAATCCATGAATAAAAGTTAACCGAAGTATATATTTTTCTTGTATATAAATGTTTTTCACTGCTTTTATTTTGTGTAGTTTTAGATTATTCAACTCAAAACTGAAAAACAAACAATCTAAACACAAAACCTCATCGAAAAAAAAAGAGACAAAACTGAAATCAAAATTCTCGCTAATCAATTTTTAGCTTAAACGGGCTTTGAACAACCCGGCCCTAGTGTTTATATCCCAGGGTTTTATTTCCGTTTTTGAGAGGGGATGCTTTTCAGTTTACAGGTTTAAACTAACTTCTCAAGAATGGTCTTACCTGACCGAAGAAAATTAACAGCTTCTCCTCCGCGTACGTCATGGGGCCAGGTTTCATTATGAATTTACCCTACGATCAAAAACACAGGAAGAAGATACTATTAAACACCAGTTACAGGGTTTGCCTCAGCGAATCAAATTCCATAGGTCAAGGCATCCCAGTTCATTGTCAAAACAACGTCTGGCGAGAAGAGCTATAGGCTCACAAGTAGTACAAGAACCATAAGGTAAAGTCTGCATACGAGCCAAGTGGCCTATAAGGTCGGCGCTATAAGGTCAGTAGCATGGAGCGACTAGGAGTATTTCTACTCCCCCTGGACGGGATGCTAATCCATCGCAGGGTTACCCCCAGCATTAAGGTCACCGGTACCCATTTATATACTTGGGTGGAGAGAGGCACTGTGAGAGTAAGATGTCTTGCCCAAGAACACAACACAATGTCCCCGGCCAGGGCTTGAACGTGGACCGCTCGATCCGGAGTCGAGCGCACTAACCACGAGGCCACCGCACCTCAACCGGTTTAGGCTGGTTTGGGAGACAATAGGTCAAACGGTTACAAATTGAGCCCCCAGTTACGGTACAGCAAAACTGAACACACCTTGTTCTTGTTAGCGGCAGAGCTGGGGCATGGAACAAGCAGTCCTACATGGGTACCCTGGAGTTCTCGAGCCATCAGCCACATGAAATGACGAAACGAGCCACCTAAGACAGAAAAGATATCATTATTTGTAAGGTCTATAACAACAAGAAGGTTAGATTGTCACTGCTAGTCACTCTAAAAACACTCCAGTAGAAGAACTATTACCTGAACCCAGGACTTGCTCTCCTCGGAGCTGAACCTTAAGAGGGAAGACTGGGTCACCACCTGTGGCGACCTTGACCCTGAGTCCACTAGAGGAGAGAGCAGAGATGTCACGTGCGGCCTGACAGAACTGTGGTCCGGCTGACGATACCTTGTCCGCTGAAATGACACACAGTAAAGTTTACAACCATGAAATAAAACACAGACCCTGTTGAGAACTATTGACGTCAAAATGACTGAGGGAGCAAATGCGTATCGTCCGCTTCAGGTTTTGTGCGACTTGAGGAAGCAAACCAGTGGCTAACGATTGGCAAACTTAAAATAAGATTGCCTAAGCAGGCACTTACTGTTGGTCGGCATAGGGCACACGGAGCGCGCGCACAATCTGTTTTATCGATATTCTGTGCTAAATACATCAGCCACTGGGTTTTGGTAAAAATAAAATCAGACTGGTCGCTGACGGTTTCCACCGACTTTGCCCCTCGCCAATCATAACTAAGCCGATATACACCTCCAGCTCGCAGTCCTATTGTTAATAATCAACCCTCGGAAAAGCGCGCACGTAACAAACAGTGCGAAACACTAAACGAATTTCTGTGCAACTACCTGATTAATATGGAGGCTTTCGGGTCGAATTTGGGACATGAGAAGCCAGGGAAGAATTGAAAAGAGATGCTGGTGTACTAAAACGAAGAAATATGGTAAGAGCATAACGATATGTTGATCACTGTACTTTATTCTTACGAACTCACCTTCCAAAGCTTCCAGAGGATCTAACGAGACTTCAGGCGGCGAATCCTCAGCACCGCGATGCGCCGTGTGGTTAAGCACGTGATTCAACAGCGCCACCTTGGTGTGATAAAACAGGAGGCCGCGTCCCTCTCTCAGCAGGGTAGCAGTGCTCAGATTGTACGTGTCGGCTGCTCTCAGGTCGGTCACTGGTAACAGCAGGCGCTCCACGTCTGAATTCAATGCCTTAAGGAAGGCAAACCGACTCCTAAGGCTCCGGAGGGACAGACCTAGGCCACGACACAAAATGTAAGGGTAGTGCGTGCACTCACATTAAATATAAAATAAGCAGTATCGCATGGTCTCACACACTACGGATTTCATCAGGGATGAAAACCTCCTTATGGGTTCCTGTCATGTGCCGGGTACTGTTCCATAAAAACTTTTTTTTTGTCCCTAAGGTCTAAGTTAAGACTTTCAACTGCAATATAAAATGTAAGCAGACGACATTTCGAGCATAAGCTGTGTCCGCCGGTCCGAGTGAAATTTAGGCTCTTGTTATCTAGCTGAGGCTAACGAAGAGTCAAACAAATTTATTTTAGCTCACCCTGAAGAAGATGGAAGTCTTCGCTGGTAAGATCCACCTCGGAGAGGAGGAGTTCGTCTGGCATCAGACGGGAAGGCGTGGTGGACCAAGCGCGGCACAGGGTATCCACATACAGGACAAGGGCGTGGTCACGAGCCAGAGGCCAGTTAGCATGGTCTGCTTCCATCTCCGACGACAAAAAATATGTACACCTAACAACATATCAGGTTTGTCAGTAAGAACATTTACTCAAAAGAACGACTATTAAAGAAGGCAGAAGCGAAATAAGGAATAAAAGGGACGAAAGAACGAAGGAACAAGCGAGCGAACAGGTCCGCATTAGGTTGTTTGCCGTGTTGTTCCCAACTTCAGATATTGCCTGACTCACAGGAAACTGTAAGAAAAGTTTACTCTCTAAAGACAATGTCAGAAAATGACGGGAAGCCGAACCCGTAGCGCCGTAAGTGTCCATGAATCACGTCAAACATTGCAATAAACGGTCGAGGGCTCCGCAGGAATTCCTGAAACTTACATATCACCGTTAAATTTCTGCATAAAACGACTCTCCCTCTAGCGTTCTCTTAAACATATAGTAAGGGATTTTTATTTGTTAATCTAGACGTTTGGTAGATGCTTCAATATGATTAAGTAAATAACAAGCGCCCAAATGACGTAGCATGTGAAATTATAGTCTGTCAACAGAGGTTTATTACTTTGCAATGAGTTATTTTTTCTTCGAGCGCGCGAGCGATGCACGCGCGGAGCGCGAGGGCGGCCGCAAAGCTTTCCCCAGCCCCACCCTTTTGCGTTTTGGTTCGTTAACATCTCACGCGCCGGGTTAATATTCTTCTAAGCTTGCGATCTCGACGAAATCAAGACAAAATACAGGGTCTGTAGACAGACTAGTGAAAATTAGGGATTCATTTGTAATCAACCCAGAGTGAATTGAAGGCTTGGGAGAATTCACATACTCATGGATCCTTGGCCACGATTTCCCTTCTGTTATGAAAGACAAACATAAACGATAATAGCCCTTACCTCTTGAACTGCAAGTCATACCCACAAGCAATAAGCCCTTTCCATATCGACCGGACATCCTGACTGCCCCTGGCCAACGCCCAGGTTACAAACCCCTTAAAACCGAGCGCTCTTTCCTCGCTTCCTTCGATGGGGCTTCCGTGATCCCTTAAAAGTTGTGTGACAAGTTCCACAGCTGACTCTTTTGCGTGACGCACGGCGTTGAAAAACGATAACAGCAGATTGCCCGGTGTCACGCTGCAAATTTGATCCTTTGTCAACAGTTCTTCAGATAACGACTTATTGCCGGTTTGATTTGACTTCTTTTCGCTATGTGCATCCTTATTGATGACAGGCTCCGAATTCTGGCCCAAAAATTCTTGGGACTGTGGTCCTGCAACAGATTTCTCAACCGTGATGACTTTGTCTTGCCCAGAGGGTTCAACGTTCTGTGAATCTGAAGGCGTACTCGACAGAGCTGTCTCAGTTCCACTATCTACACTGACAGATTTCACTACACTGCTCGCAACAAACCCACAACTTGAGAAAATTTCAGCCATCGCCCCTGTGGCCGAGACAGATAGTGTCTTTGCCCCTTCGACATCGAACAGCCTGGCGTTTAAAAACTCGTCAAATACAGCAAAAGCGCTAAGTTCGTTGGTTCCTTCCATGAGGAGTTCAGAGTTGACTTTAGCCACACCGATGTTAGGTTCTACCGAAGATTGATCCTTTAAAGTCTTACTGGAAGAAAGAGCCTGCCGCACAAGATCAAGCTGACTTGCGCTCTTCAACTCCACCACTGCATAACCCAGAATCCTCTCCGGTTTATCTTGTCGGGCACTGGGTAGGAGCTCAGTCATCGACTTTACCCTAGAGTCCACTCCTTCGCTGTCTTGTTCAAGGCGCGACCCCCCAGCCGTGACGCGTGGTTCAATTTCTGGAATGTACACCTCACTGTCGTGAATACCGCCACTCGGTCTGCAAGCTTTCTTTATGGCATTCACAGCCTCTTTCTTGCTCAGAGTAGTAGCAATGTTAGTGATGACTAGCAGCCGTTGTAGAGCGGTACTTCTTGTGGAAATCACCGCTGTCAAGCTATCGGAAAGATCCAAGGATCCGCGCGGGTCTCCATGAATGAGGTTCCGCAGCAGCAGCGTGGTGCTGACAATCTTATCAAACCAAGGCATGCTCTCTGTAGGGGACGTTATACCGTGCCCGAAACCTCGCTTACGTCGCCGCACGCTGCCGCGCCTCTGACTCGCCTTGATCTTGGGGGACGGTGGACCAGAGGAGGCCGCGGTCTCCGTGGAGGAAGGCGGGACAATGGCCTCCGCATCAAAGTTGAACGTGTTGTCTACACTGGTTGGAGGTGCAGATCGTACTTCATTGTCAGTTGAATCTGAAGTGACTGCAGCCTGGAGAAGGGAGAAAGAAAGTTTAGTTTTATTGAGGATCATTACCTTTGTGATCGGTCTTAAAAGTTTTAACGAGAAAAACACCTCATGCACCTTTCCGCACTCGCCATCGCAAAACAGTTTCTTACAGGCTGTTAGTCGGGAAAAGGTTCACTAAATGTTTTTCACTCAAACCAGTTGAGTGCTAAAAACCACGTTGTCATCAGCTATATAGTACACTTGCCTGTAAAGCCTCGCGCACTTCCTTAAGCGACAATCCTCTGCCTGACTTGCCTCGACTGGAAGACACTTCATTGGCTGCTGAAACAAGCCCAAGAAGAGCCTGCAAGTAAGATGAAAACTCGCTGTGTTCAAAATTGCAGTTAAGAATAAAATCCAGGGCAGCGGTGTTTGTGGCCGAAAGTTCTTTTTCTAACAGCTTCTGTAGCTCAGTTCGCAGGGGAGCCAATCGTGATAGAACCAAGTCTAACGTGAACAAGTGTTCGGGAGAATGAGGTTGGTTTGCCTGTGACTTTACATGATGACATGCTCGGAGCAGCTGAGCTAAGAGATGGCAGACAATCTCCTTGATGACTGCAGGCAAGTTGGATTTCAACAGAAACGAGCTGAGGAGATCTGTCAAGTTAAACGCGACTGTCTTCTGAATGGAAGCTTTTCTCCTATCGGCGACATCTCCCGAGTTTTCAACCACGCTGGTCTCTGTATTTCTTGAAAACTCTGCGGTGTTTTCCAAGTAGAACGAAACGAACACTTCAATGAAGACGAGCGAAAGGAAGAATTCTGCCGGAAATGCGTTCAAGTGGACCATTAGGCCTTCTGTGGCCGAGGTCAAGAAGTGTAAATGGAGTCGGTTGCATGGAAGTATCATATCTGGATACAGGTTGAAACTGGCTGAACCGGAAGTGTTAAGATCAGCAGCGTTTGGATACTGAACTACTTTGTAACGAGCTACTTGCCCATTCTTGTTTAGCTTCTGGTTCCCATGGTAACACGAAATCGACACGCAAGGAGATCGAGGATTGGCCACGCCTCTGAAAAGAAGACATTATTTTTCGTGTCAGACGTTACAGTTAAAGTTTAATTATTTGATGTAATTCAGATAAATTTAGTTTTTGATTTTGTAGACACGAGATCTTATGAGCTTTCAGCTTTCATGCCATCACCGTGTTCAAATAATTGTATATCTATCTATCTACTTAAAATTCAAGGAAATTGATACTTCAACGTAATTTTAACAATGGTCGTGACATGTTATTTGTGATACCCAGCAAACGCTCTATATACCACCTACGCCCCAGGAAGCCACTGGGAGCTACAGTCAACTGATTAAACCTGTGGAAGGCGGAATGTGTGATAATGCCTACAAAGTTATCAATGATGCGCATAATTATGAACTAGGATTGACAGATTTCAAAAGGAGATCTTCGCCGTTTTAGCTGTTTTACAACAACCAAGGACAGGTCAAACGAAACCATGCTCATCCCTTAACGATTAAAACTAGAACTAGTCTAATTCGTCTAACTTACACCGCCGCTAATGTAATTGTCTTAAACGTTGTTGAGCGAGAAACGACCCCAGCAATAACACAGGTCTTGGGATGCTTTTTGAATCGAAACCTGACGTAATTGAGTCGCTGAACATACCATTTAAACTTTGGTTGACAATTTACTTTGCGCTCCTACTTTTCACAACTCGATTTCAACTGCACTCTAAATGCGTTAACTTCACGTGACTACCTACGTACCCAGTACTAAGACATCCGGGATCTTCCCTACACGACACCACTGTGACAGCGGCGCCAGGGATTAACACCTCCTCGTCCTGTTTTCCCGCGCTAATCGGCACTTCTCGGTGGCAGGCCCCCAGGGGAGCGTCTTTCAACCCTTCACACACTGTATTCACCACCCTCAGCACTTCTTCCTCGTCCTGTTCGACTGCCAGGGACAGGAGCTTACGAACCTCAGAGATCAAGCGCGCGGGCTCACTGAAGAATATCGCACTAGGCTGCAAAGTGTTGGCCGCGAGGCAGTGACGGGGATCTGGGGCTGAGTGGGGTGACGTTATGATGATGGTGCCGTCAGACTGAGGATCAGCCAACAGTTGAGTGGCAAGGGTTTGTAGGAGGGACAGAATATCTGCAAGTTGACATTATTGAAGAGAATCAATACCACATCAGTAACGTTGTATCACGTAAATCGTGCCTGTTTTCTTTGAGTCAAAGCTGAAGTCCCCCTCCCCAGTGTAGAAAAACAAAGTACAGTTTGTCTGTTAAATTCTGCTATAGCTTTGTCACAGCAGATGATGTTCCACAAAAGCGAAATGAAATGAAGTGAAATGAGATTATAAGATATCAACGAAAGAAATGGTAACCATTTATACAATGTTTAGGAAACAGCCTGTAAGAAAGCACAGAACAAGCACGAAATGTAAACAAAGTAATGGCCCAAGCGAAGGGAAGTCGAAAAAAACGAGAGGTTTTCTTTTTTGTCGCAGCATTTTGTAAAACAAACACAAAGCATTACCTCCTTGTTTCTATCGAGTTACAGAAACACTCGTGGAAGTTTGGGAAAACTCGAAAAAGCTGCGGAAACACTCGCTAGCGACTCGTATTCCCACAGCATTTCTCGCTCTCCAAACTTCCATTCGTGTTCCTATAACACAATGGAAACTCCAAGTTTTTTTTTTCCTCTGTTAAACCATTACGCAAACAGAATTGGAAAAGGAGAGAGAATTGATCCAAGAGGACACACTACTCTAGCTCATCAAGCGTTCATGAAATAAAGTAACGGTAATCATAGCTTGAGGCTAAAATACACGCCCAGTTGAAAGTTTTTATACAACGTGGCATTTTAATTCTAACCTGTTAGTTGTTTGTCACTCTTCGCCTTCTTTGCAAGCAACCTGGATTGCGCCTCTCTACAGTACATCCGGGTCAGGCCAGCCTCGTTTCTGAGCAGCTCACAGTAAATATCCGCGCGCGTGCGGTCCTCGCTACATAGAGCCAGTGATGACGAGCGCGCCAGGCCAACGGTCGGACGCTCTAGTGCACTGATTGGATACCAAAATCTCATGAGCGTGCCTTCTTCTCGGTTGTATGTTTCAACTTCTGCCAAACCTTTAGGCTGCACGAACAGAAAAAAATTCCAGTATAAGATAGCGAAGTGACAAATGGGTTGACTTGCACCTCTTAAAAACCTCTATTTTCATTCGTTCTTGCTAGTCTGCATTGTTTTTGTTCTTCATCAATTGTCCCGTTTGGCCAATTATAAAATAACCCTGTAAATGATGCAGGTCGCTCCCTAAAATTCCATTCCTTTTCTCTAAGAATTAAATCCAACCACACCTATTTTCAGAAAAGTGTTTCTATTTTAGTTTTCGCACTATCTGCTGACCAAACACGTACAAAGACTGCAATAATACGAAATTCAACGAGAGTGACTCAGCTCTACCATGGTGGCATCTCAATAGGAACTAAGTTCCCTCGTTTGTCGACGCTTGTTCATCGGTTATATATACGTCTGGATTTATGAACACAGTGATAACAAAAGCCTCGCTCGCTCAAAGTAGACGAAACAATAGAATAGAATGTGCGCCTTATCTTCCTATTTGCGCTCTTCAGTACTTTTTTTCAACGCTTGAAGACCATTAGGAGTTGTGAAATCAACGTGCATATGGGTCACTTGGTGCAAAGTATTGACCCGAAGAAAAATAAATGTCTGTGGACAGACTACGGTTTTCGTAAAGCTAGTCAAATGTATACCCTAATTAAAGTCATGAGTGTATAATCAAACAGACAGTTTACGTAAATGCTTGTTTTGCTCTGACCAAGGGGTTAAGGCTCGAAAAGCCAGCTTCAAACCCCTCTCCCTTATCAACTTCTAGTTTATAAATTACAAAGTGTTTTACTGGTCAATGTTTGTTTTTTTCAACTTCTTACTCCATGATAGTGAAATCAAGCCAACACTTTATTCAATGCATGTCTTTCAATTTTCTGTTTTCATCTCCCTTGTCCAATTACAGTAAAATCAAGCTAACGCTTTAATTTAATGCTTTTTCGCTTTGCCTAATTACTTAATTACAGTAAAATCGAGACAACAGTCCATTTTAATTCTTGTTTTTCAACTTTCCATTGGTTTAACTGCCTCGCGTAATTGCTTCTTACAGTACGATCAAGCCGACAATTCATTTTAATTCTTGTTTTTCAACTTTCCATTGGTTTAACCGCTTCGCCCAATTGCTTCTTACAGAAAAAACAAGCCAGCAATTCATTTTAATTCTTGTTTTTCAACTCTCCATTGGTTCGACCGCCGACTGCCCCGCCCAATTGCTTCTTACAGAAAAAAACAAGCCGACAATTCATTTTAGTTCTTGTTTTCCAACTTTCCATTGGTTCGACTGCCTCACCTAATAGCTTCTTACGGTAAAATCAAGCCGACAGTTTATTTTAATCCTGTTTATCAATTTTCTATTGTTTCATCTGCCTCACCTAATTACTTCTTACAGTAAAATCAAGCCGACAGTCCATTTTAAGGCTTGTTTTTCAATTTTCTGTTTGTCCACCTGCCTTGCCAATTACTTCAATTCAGTAAAATCAAAGCGAGTGCAGATCTCTGTTTTGTGTTTTCAATTTGCCTTTGCACACAAGGCTACCCCCTGGTACATTTTGCCCATTATAACAGACCTCCGGATTTCCAAACGAATTTTCTCAATCATGATATTATTTCAACTCACTTGAGTTTTATTGTTTTTCCAATTCTCGTTTGTCTCTTGCGTCATACCCTATATGGAAATAAAACATCTCGGGTGCTTTCCATTCGACCAAAAATTCTTTAGAATTTCAGGAAATTTCTATGATGAATGGAACGGCATTTTGGGGAATTTCAGAAAAGAGAACAATTACTCAAATTTTAAAAATTTTCTCACGTCGAGGGCGCTTTCCATTCAACCAAAGATTCCGAAAATTTAGAAATGGGGACAAATGGTACGGAAATTTCCTTGGAAAGTTTCCAGAAAATCTGGAAATTGTCGAATTTCTGCAAAGCGAACCATTCAACCGAAAATTCAACCTAAAATTCTGGAAATTCTGGGTGAAAGTCAAATGGAACGGTAATTGTCAATGAGAAATTTCCAAAATTTTCGTTATACCTCGCAAGGCTGTTCTCTTTTCTGGAAATTCCGAAAATGTTGTTCTATTCGTAACTGGGAACTTCCGGAAATGTGCACCAGAATTTGTGGTCGAATAGAAAGCGGCCCAAATTCCCGTTCCATTCGGTTTTCCTCCCGGAAGTTGGAATTGTTGGTAGAATGGTTCGCATTTCGGAAATTCAATAATTTTCCGGTTTCCTGGAAACTTTCCAAGGAAATTTCTGTACCATTTGTCCCCGTTTCAAAAGTTCCAGAATTTTGGTTGAATGGAAGGCGCCACACGTTTGTTCTCAGTGCCATACCATATATGGTTTACAATATCCCGCCTGTGTTTCTGTCTCCTGATTGGACCCCTCATTTGCAGTAATGCTAAAAAAAACATGGCCTCACTTTCCACTCAGCATTCAAACAAGACCCACAGAAACAGTGATATCAAGCGAGCAAAAGGTAAAATAAACGCGACGGGAAAAACGGTTTCTACCCCTTCAGAGATGGAAAATGGAAAGACAACGTACAAAGACGGTCAGGAATCTCACGAACGAGAAACTACTCTGGACATGCAACTGGCCAAGCTTGTTTCTAACAATGTAAGGGAAGCCATGGCTAAACTGACCTTTGAAGAAAAGCAGTCGCTCTATCTGGACATTTTCAAACCTCTTGATTTCTACGAGGTGCTGTTTGACAGATACTTCAAGAACGAGGACAAATGCCAGCCAACAACACAAAATTAGCCTGGAATTATTTGAATTGTAAACCGTAACGTAATTCCAGGAGCTTTATTACGTAACCTTAACATTACTACGTAACTTGAACTTTGTAAAGTAACTGAACTTACCTTAGTGCAAAACGGAACATTATGGCCATTTCATTATTTATAAAACATGCACTTCGTTCCGTATTGTCACTGTGAAATAGGTACTTGACAAAACTTCCATTTTAGATTGGGAGAGACAGAAATAAACGTGCTATTTCATACGTAGAAGCCGTCTCTCTTAACCATTTAGTATCTTTTAGCTCTGTGTCCCCTAAAGCAAGAGATGGGTGATTACGAAGCGAATGTATTGTGGTTGTACGCGTGTGATTGAAAAGAATATTGCAAATTGACGTCCATCTGCAGAACAGCGGCCTGAAATGATCAAAATGACGGAGCATTTAGCCTGATGGTAATTTGGCACCAAAAGGTGTGCTGAATGTCGACACAGAAAAGCGAAATACTTGAATAAAATACTACTGATTTTGTCAGATATATAATACGTCATCCATGGCATCTCCGTTAATTGAGCGGAAGTTTCCAAGTATTGTATTCCCACAAACAAAAAAAAAGACGCCACAAATCTTCTGACGCGCTGCGCAAAACTGAGACGACTCAACAAATAACAAACCTTGTCGACGTTCTTCACCACCCCCGTGAGTCCAAATGTTTTCTTCATATCCGGTACTGCAAAGCCGGGAAGAGCGGAAGCCTGGTTCAGAGTGGAGCTGTTGATGATTACAGCCTGACCCGGTCTCAGGCCTCCCGCGCTCACTTTGTTGACGTCAGCTTTGACATCATCAAGTTTAGGAAACTGTAAGCTTGCCGGGATGCCGCCATTGTCTTCGTACAAATCAGCTACGGTGGCGATTGCGATGTCAATCATACCTGAGAAAGAAAGAGTCAAGTTAAACTTCTGGTGGTGTTACATGCTTATGGTTGTATTGAAGATTCGATTGCAGATGAGAGATTTCCATGCTGAATTTCAAATGAAAATATAAGCGATATCAGCAATTTGAGTTCACGAGTGAAGTTAGATGATGATTTTCCACGAATCCCGAAACATTAATGAAAGAGATATTGATCTGATTTCGTTTGCGATTATGTTTACCTGCAACGCACGCCAGAAAGCCCAATTCGCTATTTTCCAATGGCCCTTTTCACGGTTCATTTTTCTCATTTGCATTACAATGTAATCCAACGTGGATGCGAGGCAATTTCGGGCTAAAACTACAAAATAGCCCGAAATTGCCTGACGTACTGCTAGATTTTATTGTAATGCAAATGAGCAAAGGTAACCGTGAAAAGGGCTATTGGCCGTAATTCACTCTGTTTGCCCCGCAAATTTTGCATAAACTATTGTTGTGAAATGCTCTTGGGAGGTCTGCATATTCCCATGAGCATTTCACAACAATAGTATATGCAAAATTTGGGGGGCAAACTGAGTGAATATATGGGCAACTGGAAAATAGAGAATATCAGGTTTCTTAGGCCTGTCACGAGCACTTTCCGAAAGTTACCGAGTCAAGGGCGCTTTCCGAAGGTTGCCACGACATGAACACGTTACGAAAGGTGTCACGTTACGAGCACTTCGCAAACGTTGCCTCATAGCGAAAAGTTTCCGCAATAAAGTAAAAAATACGTTATTAAAACCAGGTCAACCATTGCTTCAAAGTCAAGATGACTTGATACGATAATTCTTGCCAAATCCATGCTGTAAAACAACTAAGGAGCGATAATAGGACCTACCTGCCAGCAGTGCCCCCTTGATCTGCTCCAGCCCCGACTGCCGGTCAGTATTAGACCGGAACCGTCTTCTGATGACAGGGAACACTTTGTCCTCCCAAGCTTTCACCAACAGACGGGCTGGGTCCACCGGTGGGGCTTCTCTGCCCTGGCTGGTGCCCTCTTCACTTACATGCAGTGGTGCCACAGGACCCACATCCGTCATTCTGTCGTAGCTACTAGTCAGCTTGTACTGAAGACAGGACATTGGGTCATATTCTGTGATTGTCAAAGAAGCAGAATTTGGGGCAATGCTTGAAGGTGCGATATATTTTAAACGCTTTACCACGTTCAAAATGTATCAAACAGAAAGAGAACCCTGACGAAGCCATGTCACGGTTACCTAAGTCACTTGTTAACTCGAAATTTAGCGATAACTCGAAAAATAGTTACTTATTATGGTTGAGTTGGAGTTAAAGTTCCCTTTTTGACTAGGTCAAAAAACCAATTTGACTTTCTTATGTTATACTTTGTCTTGATCTCTTTAACTGTCCTCTTCAGGGAAGTCATTTTAGCCCTGCAGACACTGAAAAGGTGTCAGTGTCCGCTGCTCGCTTACAAGAGGGTACAAACATAGTGTTCTTAAAAGAGGAGATATCGCCGGGACTGCTGTTTGATGTCCGTTAGCAGAGTTCGACCACAATAACGAATCATAAAGGAACAGGTATCTTTAAGATAGGGTAAAACTGAGAACGACGAACTTGAAAAATTAAGGCTAAAGTTTCTGAGACTTAACAATCTGGAGCCAAAAATTCATTTGCTAACATAAACTGCAAGGTCTCGTAAGAGGGAAGATTATTTAGGATAGTTTTCTTCAAATGAGGCAGTTTAATTGTTTAGTCGTACGCTTTCAACCAAACAAACGCCACGCAGAAATAGCATAAAAGTGGCATCAACAATCCACAAACCTTTTCCAGCGTATTTAGGGATGGTGAGAGGCGCAGGTTTAGGCGGCGATGGTTTAGAAACTTTGGAGAGCGTATTTCCATCCTTTGCGTCTTCCTTGTCGGGCTCCAGAGCGAAGGGCAATACGTTGAATCCCTCCCTGAGATCCTCCAACGAGTCACTCCACATGTCCGCTGCTACACGGTGTTTAGAACCCTCTGCGTACAGGAACGAACGAGCCCCAAAATTGACTCGAACACGCACATTCTGGTGGAATAAAAGATGTCATTTAAACAGGTTGGACTCAGCCTAGTGGAGGGCGAAAATTAAAGATACTGATAAGCTCCAGGCTCTTTTTTTCTTAAAAAGTAGTTAAACGTTTTAAACAACGTAGAATACCATTATTTACAGCATAAGTTGACCAAACTATTTACTGCGCATGCGCAGTTTTAGTTTTTTTATTGTTTGAACCAAACGCAAATGACCTTTAACCTTGAGCCCTAAAATAATCATATACAATTAGTACAGGTAAACTGTAGAAAGGAACGAAAAGTAAGCTAGAGAATGTAAAAAAATATGATAAATTATACCACAAGTGTGAGATCACCAGTTCGAAAGCAGATAAATACTTGAATAGAAGAGTCTCAGAATGGGGTTGGGTGAAATGCTCGCTTAAGGGGCTACTTCCGAGGAACTCAGCGTTCCTGCCTGTGCCCCTGGGAAGGTCTGAGACAGAGACTGCTTGCTATTCCAGCAGGATACCCTCCTAACTGAGGGGTGCGTCACTAGAAACAGGCTTGGCGAGTTGCACTGGGCAGATGATGCCTTCTGACTCGTCAGGAGGAGGATGCCTGTGGCTGCGTCACAGTTGGAAAGGTCGCACGGTCAGCATGGTTAGTTCAATCAGCGAGGTAGCACCACATGGTGCCATAACTCAATTCAGACTACTCTTCATCCAACCCCTTTATTTCTAGATTTAGTATTTTATGGTAAAATACATGCAGGATGTAAATAGTTCCTGAATGTGAAATGCAGTGAAAGAATTTCAGAGACTAAAGAAGAGAAAAACTGTTTAAGATAATATTTTCCTCCTTCTCTTTCATTCTTTCATACGTAGTTCAAATGTATGATTCATTTTACACTAGAAATTGTTACGTTCACAATGTCACAGAAATAAATAGAACTTGCAATACCTTCAGTTAGCATCTTGGCTAGCATTTTGTAGTATTATTGTAAAGATCACAGGCTTGAAACGAGATAAAGATTTCTATGTTTCACTACAAATTACTCTCTCTAATCCAATTTCCACGGATCAAAGATTACGATCCTCACAAAAACGATTGTGGAAAAACGCCTATTATTCCTTAATGCTTGAAAATTCTGATTGGGAAATTTGGTAACTTGTTTAAGTAAGTTACGTTCTCACAATATCATCAAAATATGAAGATGCGAAGCGAGAAAATAAATAGACCGGAATCATGACCCNCCCCCCCGCCCTAATTTGTAACTGTACCGCACTTCGCTCGGTCACCAAATTCAACCACGGAAAATTGCTTTGTTCAATTAAAAAACGCTGCATGTACATCACAGGTAGTGGACGGGTACAATATTGTTACAAACAAACGAAAAGGCTTTTAAATCTACATTACATTTGTCGAGTTCAGATCAGCTGGTTACAGAACTGACAATAGCTAATAAGAATGCAGCTTCTACCGGTTGGCTAAGACTTATAAAATAACGTCTTTCTATAATTTTCCAATCCTTCGATCTATCGGATAGCAACAGTCTTTCTCGAAGAGTATTTCACCGAAAATTCACCAAAATTTCATGCGCGCATAATAACAAAGTTATAATATTTTTACCTTTTTCTGTATGTGAATAACTGGCCACAGCCCAGACTGGACACCGTCAAGGTTCTCCGCTAATCGTTGGCCATTGTAGGTGAAATAAGCCAGCCCTTTATCAGAATGATCCTCAGCTTTCTTGTATCCACAACCAATAATGTCATTCTCCTTCATAACGATATTAAGCGATACCGTTTTCCACTGGAGAAGCCCGCCTGCTCTGTACAGCACGGCACGGCCATTGCTATTACAAATCAAAACGGGTTGTTATAAAAGATACATTAGCCAATATGACATCTAAGTTCGGTTACTACAAAATACCGGTTTTTCCTTAGAGTAATGTCATCTCCTAAACGTTGAAAACGTTGTTAAAAATCGACCATTGTCCTGGCTGTGTGCAAGCGTCTACTTTTACGTTTGCTTTTCACCGAAAAGTAACTTTTCAGCGTGAAATTAACGAAGGAAATAGTAGTCGTCTGCAGGCAGGGTCGCATGGTCCCAACTTAACAAAAAAAAAAACTGACATGAGCCAAGCAACTAAACCGCGAGATATCTTCGAACTGATCCTTGTTTCATCGCTTTCAATCAATCAGTCAATCAATCAATCAAACTTTATCTCACAGAGTCAAATTTCATGCGACGATTAATAACATTCTCGAAAACGAGACAAGTTGTTGCAATCGTTGCGCAAAGGGAACTGAGTTCTACTTCAGTTCTGTAGTGATTGCAACCAGTTCTCCTCCCTTGTGTCTCATTCATTCACCGCACGGCACATTACCAGAATAGAATGTTTGTACAGGCAACGCAACGCGAAATATTGCCTCGTGTTACACAACACCTTTATCCGCCATCGCCATAAAAAAAACATAAAGTGAAATTACCTGTGCAGAAGACACGAGCCTACGGGATTGATCCAACCGCTAGGGAGCTGATCGGTCCAAGGAGCAAACCCGACGGAAATACAAGGGCCCGGATCTTGATCTCCGGTGTCCCCCAAGGAACAGAGCTCCACTTCCCAGTAAAACGACGGTGCCTAGGAAAAAAAAAAACAACTTAATTTAAAGAAGTAGCTTGTTTGCAGTGCGACTGCTACAGCTTGCCGAACACCAAGGGCGAATTTAAAGAAGCACTACCTATAGATGTTTGCTCAGAATTATAATAAATACAATTTACGAGATATTTACGTTTCTGTACCATCCACAAAAACGTGGTGTGAGTGCAACACATGTATGGCAATACAGAAAAGAGGGAGAAGACTGTATATAAACGTTATCACCACTACTACAACTCACCCTTTGAGGCAATGGGGCGCTAGCATACACAAACGTTCCCCTGGGAAGTCCAAAGCCTGCCGCAGGGTCAGCCATGAAGTGAACGCATGTGTACCCCTCAGTAAAAACACATCCCCGTACGGGAGGGAATGGACGGCTCCCGTCAAGCACCATCTTTTTACCGCTCTTGGCTACCTTCTTGGGTTCCTCAGCGGGTTTGACAAAGTCCTTGAAGAGTTTTCGAAGCTGTTGGCAGTGCATCTCCATGACGGGAAGTCTTAAGCCTGGGTCGCATTCTCCCCCCAGTTTGGAGATGAGTTCGAGCGATGGGTTTGTTAAGATGGCATTGCTAAAGGAGGGGTCTTGGACTTGACAAGATAGCACCATACTTGCCCTGGAAAGACAGTAACGTTGGAATAAGCAGCATTTACTAACAAAGACACAACTTCCGGACAAGCTATAGACACCAAACAGCACGCGCACGTTTGGTGGCAAGGTCATGCAAGACAAACCTCATTTCCATTTCCACGTAGAATATCTGCAGGAAATTCTATCCTGCTAAACCGCCTCACGATTCTGCAGGCTAGGTATATCGCGAAATATTACGCCTGTGATTTTAGTTTCAACAATATCCACAAGGGTCTTGCCAGTACCATGCAATCCGCCTCAAGAAACAACAGGAACGCCGCACATTTTGGCATACAACGCGTGAATTACTGCTGAATGTGCAAAGGCTTTCTAGCCTTCGATTGGCTGCATCTTTCATGACCCGCGACATATACCTTCAACGCTTTGCAAAGATGGTATTCTTCTGTTTTTTACTCAAACCTAAGTCGCGGTTCATTTAAATACTAACCTAGTTTTGAGTTCTGCCAGTATTCGTGCGGCCGGTGATGGCGAAATAATGTTTTCGCTTTGGTCTTCCACAGAAGGCTGATCAAGTAATGTTTCTTTGGAACTTAAAATCGAAATTAAAGAGGCAACAGCTTGTTCTCCCATCGACAATTCGCTTAGAAACACCACCTGCAAATATAGAGGATTCAATTTTTTTTCAGATAAGACAATGTTACAGAAAGCTCATTTCTCGTATGATAAAGGTAAATTTAAAGTCTACATCATGCAATTATCCCACATACCGCCGGAACTTATCCCGGATTCTTTACCACAAGGCGACTAGGGGCATTTTTACTCGTCCCTGGATGGGATGCTAGTCCATCGCAGGATTACCTCCCCTCCTCCCCCCGCAGTAATACTTTCGCCAGTACCCATACATACGCTTGGGTGGAGAGGGGCACTGTGAGAGTAACGTGTCTTGCCCGAGAACACAACACGATGTCCCCGGCTGGGACGCGAATTCGGACCACTCGATTCGGGGTCCAGCCTGCTAACGATTACCTCACCGCACCTTCCTATTTCTCGTCTGGACCTTGCACTATACCTGAGTGTTAGCCACTTTAAGCCGTGCCAATGGTATCTCTTGTAACCTGTCACTGTAGGTCTCTCCTCCATTGTCTAATAACACTGTGGCCACGCCTTGCCTGTCTGACACACTGACCACTTCACCAGTTTTATACACCATGTTTTCTCCACAAATCTGTCAAGTTACAACAAGATCTAGTTTAATGAAAGTCAACGTATATTCTCACGCAAGCTTCATTTTCAATCTCGGACCTAACGGGTTGACGGCCCCATACATGTCAGTAATTCATCTAGCGTACAGTTCAGAACATTCACCAAGACATTTTTTACGACTTTCCACAAAATTACTTATACAGAAATGCTGCCATGATACGCATAGGCGTAGGGTCTAGTATTTTCCTGTCCATCTTTTCCTCTCAGACAATAAGGTCCTAATATTTTTAAAAGAGCTATGTTAATGGTGGTCCATCTTAAAGCAATTTATCTTCCCTTTATGCAATCCGTCTTAATCTGCCTTAATCTATTATTACCCCTATGGGTCGTTTTCTACTTTGTATAGTTAGTTGGTATATAGAGTTTGCCATTGAATTGATGGCAATTTTGTACAAAGCAAGCGCATTACCTGAACTGTGCATCCAGAATGAACGCTCTGGCGAAAACCACCCAAAGCACACAGAGACGCCATAACATTCCTAGCCTTGAGAAACCACTCGTGTTCATTAGAAAGCTGACCATCTTCATCGGGCTCCTGTTCCTCAGTGGCCTGCTTGTCCTCTCCCAACAACACCCTGCCTTCCGTTTCCAGGGTCCTCATCAGGTCAGGCACATAATCCAGCACCTCGCAGAGTACATCTCGGACAGCAGAAGCCCATATCTTAGCGGTCTCGGAAGCGGAGGAGGCCAGGAGGCCGTGTAACAAAGAGATCACTTCAGAAGCCATGGTGTGAGCCACTTGGCCACTAATGAAAGGACGGCTGCTTTCAGTTCTAGGAGAATAAGACGCCAACGATTAGCACGATTTTCACTAGCTCATGACTTACCTTGAGCAAAGACAACCCAATGAACAACAATACTTGATATCGTATCGTATCACATTGTATTTTCTATAATAACTGAGATACTACGCGCGCTCTCATTGGTCAATAGGTGTGTTTAGATGAGAGTATGTAAACACAGTTGTGACGTTTTAGATTCGCGCGTATTTGTGAGAATTATTTTATAAACGTAACAGAGCACTTTTTCCGTGTTTACATAGCCTCATCTAAACACTCGGGGGGTTAGGAGAAATCTCGAAAGTTGAAAGCATAACTGTCTCGAATTATCCCAACCCTCCTCTAAGCCTCTCCTCCTGAGGCTATGTAAACACGGAAAAAGTGCTCTATTGCATTTATAAAATAATTCTCACAAATACGCGCGAATTTAAAACGTCCTATTGCTTAAGCATTGGTAGGCTTTCTTTGAAATTTTGTCCAATTCTTCTAGACTTAGCACTCCCTCGTTAAGTTTTAGTCCACAAGGTCAGGCAACATGTCGTGAATTCCTTAAAGTTTTCAGCAAATACCCACTGTAGGACCATAGATTCCTCGAAATAAACTGGTGTTTCTGTTTTCCAGCATACGCGGTTTTCTTTAACTCTTTTATTTGAGATATCTGCAGTTGTAACAGCCCTTAGACTTGACTATCCATACTTTGCTTGCACGTAATACAGTTCCGCTTCTTTTTTTTTTTTACATAAATCCTCGATCGCATACGGCATACCCACCCAATGATCCCCTTATTTTTTATTATTCAACCAGCCATCTGAAAGACTATTCAAAAAGTTGTCGCGCCAGTATACCACGTCAGCTGGTCACCACAACGGTTTGCCACTTTACTTACCAACAACCCAAAAGCTCAGCAATACTCCAGCTGCTTAAAAAAACAGACAGGATTTTCACTAGCCTAAAATGGGCGAGAAGGGGAGGGAGACCGAGAGCGGCACTTAAGTTTGCAAAGCAGGCTGGATTAGTTTTCACCGACTAATACAGCACACCACACAAACCTGGACAGACGGCTGTTCCTTGCTTTACACACGCTCTCCGGGTCTCCAGACCCTTCAGTTGATTTTCTTCCCTCTCCATCTCCCTCCAGCAAACCGACAGGTCCCACACTGACCACCAGTCCAGTCTGAGCCCAGTGGACCGCCTTTTTAAGACATGCTGATAATGTGTCGGTGAAAAGAACACCTCGCCCGTACTCAGTCAGCTCTCGGTCGAGTTTGATCGCGCGCTCCATCTCGGAGCCTTGTCCCACGCGAAAAATGAACGACGTACCGTTCGTACTACGGAAAAGGAAAATAAATGCTTTTACAATCCTCGTGAAGACTTAACTCGGGTATTTGATCTGTCTATGTTTGACCCTTAGACAGTGGGAAACGTTTGAAAAATGTTTTTCACCCGAATTTAATTAAGGAAATGGTTCAGAATTACAATTTAATTTCAGAATTGAATAGTATTACAAGTATCCAATACAGCTTTGGCAAATTTTCCTTCCTGATCATGATTTTCAAACATTTATTATACATTAGGTCTGAGAATTAAGTGGTTTATCAATATAATAATCCACAGATGATGATTTTCTCTCTAAATTCTCACGACCTATTTGCTCGAAAACGTATCGATACTGTAAGGTAGATTTAGATCTTCATTAGCTTTGAAAATTAAAGAGTTAAACAGGCTCGATGGGTGTATGACGTAGGATAAAAGCGCACAAGCTAAAACGATTTCAACAACAGTCCTCTGTACACACTATTTCTGACCGTACCTCAATACTTTCTGGACAACTTCATGCGCCGGCTGGTCATCTCGTTTATGCAAATACAAACACATCATGGCTCCGCTTTTTTCTAAGACGTCATTCTCATCATAGTCTTCAGCGTCATCCTCGAGGTCCTCTTCACCTGCCGAGTCTACAGAGGGCAGCACAAAGCCACCCAGCTTGGCAAGGAGCAGTCTAGCCACTCGGACCACCGAACTACTCCCTTGGTTAGCTCCATGTTTCTCACCCAAGTAATGCCTGGCAGAGTGGGGTAGGGTGACCTCCTGGCAGTTCTTGGCACTCATCAGTGGTAAAGCCGAGCGGCAGAGTTTGAGGACGATGAGAATCAGTTTAGGAGGGGCACGTCGATCCAGGAGTAGAGACAGAAGGGTGGAGATGGTGCGCGGCTCACGGAGAATTCCTTCTCCAAGTTTGCTCCTAATAACGAGAGCGAAAAAAAAGAAACACATATAAACAAGTGAACTACTTGACTCAGTCAAGTAGTTCACTTGTTCATGTAGTCTTGTTCATGTAGTCAATGACTACACCTAAAGATGATTTTCAGTCCGTACTGCGCATTTTCGAGAGTTTGCTTGCGTTTTTTGTTTTGTTTCATGTAAGACATCACAAAATGTAAACATTTCGCAACTACTTACATGAAGTAAATTCAAAGTTTCACTGAAAACAACCGCCGTTATGAATGCGAAGCGGCCGAAGCTTTATGCTTCGTTCTTTCTTATATCACTTGATGAGACAACTTCGTAGTTGTAAAAATCAATGACCGTGTTGGAAAAAGAATTTGAAAGGCCTCAAAGATGAGGTAGGTGGTTCGTAACGAACAACATCGATTCGCATTCCATCGACTGTGAGACAACATTAGGGTGCTGAGACTGCGCAGTGCGGACTGGAAATCGCCTTTAAGGCGAATGGGTCCTCTGCTACAAAGAAAGTGTCAAACTGCGAATTTATGCCGCACGAAGTGTCTCGCGAAAGTAGAGCGCGCAAATTCAGAATAAGTCAGTTTCACTGTCCGGCCAAAGACAAATCAATCAAGATTCCGCTTACGCCTTGAATGTACTGCCACACTTTGCTTCGAGGGCTGATTTAGCCTCGCAACAATAATTCTTAAACTATTTGAATTCTATAACCAAAGTCACCTGCTGATGCCGTGTAACAGTTTCATGACATACTGCAGGGCGTCTCTGGCAGTAACACCATCCTTACGACTCTCCTCCAACACACAGTTCAAGTAGTTTGATAAGAGACTGGACACCTGATGAGCCAAGCCTGACCACTCGATTGCACCAGCGCGGTAATCTGAACAAACAAGCAACAACCATTGAACAGTTAACCTCTAACACGAACACTAACCTCTGGCACTAACCTTTGACTCTTGCTACCGTTTTACTATCTTATAATTATCTGCAATTAGCTTTTTTTTTCTTCTATAAACCCTCACATTCTTAGTTCACACACTGTCAGTTCACCTTTCACCCAAATTTCTTGAAGTGTCTTCGCGTGGATTTACAAACATGTGGGAAAGATGTAACGTATCATTTCACAAGTGTGAAAAAACAAAAATAAATCCGAGCACTACGAGATAATCTTGGTAAAATCGGTAAAATTTAGTTTTACGTTCATTGAGTCCAATAAATCTAACCTTTATCATTCTCCCACTGCACAATTCGATCCAAGAGGACTTGAAAACCGGCCCAAGCCATGGCCGATAGATTGACTGCTGTGGCACTTTTCTCGCTTCTCAAAGAACACAGTTTATCCAGCAGATACACAAGACTACTTCTCATAACACAGCGCTCCTCGTGCCAGGAGAATGGGCAGACAGAGAGCACCACAACGCTGTCACGGTACACTGTGGGCTCAGAGGAAGCCAGTTGGACCACCGCTTGCACTACAGCCGAGAACATGTCACGCACTTCTCGCACCATGCCTCCGCACTTAAGCTCTTCAGTCCTGTGGCGGAAACAATGGTGAGAAACATGAGAGGGAAACACAAAGCACCTTTATAGTTGGCGTGGTGCTGGCAGCAATTTAGAAACATAAGATTCTATAGCAAAAAGAGACGAAAACAGGAATGAAAACCAACCGCGGTCCTTTCGCGAGAATGGAGGCCACAGAAGAGAGAAGGTGAGGCACATGAGTTCCAATGCGAGAACAAACTGTTACTAATTCTATCATGCACTGAAGAGCTTGAATTCGATCCAGACCCCGCTCATTCCGGACACGAGCCGCAGCGAGGAAACTGGAACAAGTCACCTGGAGAAGAAAAGAGAAAGAAGGGAAAACACATTACACAAAAAACATAACTTTATTTTCAAAATTTGCTATGACGCAAACATTGACACAATAGGACATACACTGTCAGTCATCAACCACTCCCACCTGAAAAAACACACAAAAGCAAAGTCGTTCATTTTACTTGTTAGCCCGTAAAAAATAACCACGCTTCTAGTAAATGTTAGACATACCTCTACTTTTTTCTCTAAGCCAATCTGTCTGTCCGACTATGGGCTTACCTTCACATTCCGAGAGTTTGCCATTTTTTGCATTTAACCATAATAAAATTCAAATGAAAAAAGACGATACGAAAGGTAAATTTGACCCACGCGAGCAGTCTAGTTCTCCTCAAAACGTTCGCTGACAATAGCATATATATGATGAACAATTGTCTACCCTAAGTCCAACACTCGACTTAATTGTCCCATTCTCAAAATTTTAGTTTCAAAACAGGAAGATGCAGCCTATCAAAGAACACAACCTTGGCTCCCTACTTACAGCTTTATCGGGATCACTGCCAATAAAAGTGAAAATCTCGGCCACAGTTGAAACATAAGTCCTCACATTCACATTACAGTCCGTCTGATCTTCAGCAGAACATCGACTGTGCTTCTTTTGAACATTCGTTCTCCAGCGTTGTAACCTGCGCACGTCATGTATGCCTTCTTGAACTGTAGTCGACTGGTCCAGAGTGGACGGCGCTGATAGTGAGCGACTGAGGAGCGGCGAGGAAGGAGTATGAAGCTGATTCAAGGAGGTGGCTGTCAACATGCAAAAAGAAAAGGAAAGCTTGTTAAGAGGTAAGGACAAGAAGACTGGACAGTAAACAGAAGAACGCAATTGAAACGAGTAGTAGCCACTAACAACAAGATGCAAGTATTGAGGAGATCTGAATGCGAGATTACTTCAAATGCAACGTTTTGACGTGATGTGTGCTTCAACGCGGTCAAACTTGCTGCAAAAGAGTTTGTTACCTTTCCGGCCGAGTTAACTTTGAAATAAAGAATGCCACGATTAGTAATTACTTGTGATAAACTTAACAGCCTTAATATATAGTTAAAGGAGCTCATTTTGAGTTTTTAGGGCAACATGCGAAATAACCCTTAAATTGACGAAAACCTGAAAATAGTAGTTTACCAAAATAACAACAACAACAACAAAAACAAACACCAAAGAAGATAATATTAAAACATAAAGGAACAAGCATGGTTAACAAACATACACTGTTGTGATTGCTGTCCATGATCAGGTACAAAGCTGCAGTGCGAGATACTCCTCTCAGGAGCGACTTTATTTCCACTGGACTCGATTGTCACATTACACAGCAACTCCGCACACTCCATGACTGAAAACAGAAACTTCTTGGTCACTGGCATCACGTCCAATGTGTTTTCAATGTCTTGGCGTTCTGTCTTCGCTTCAGTTTCCAAACGTTGTCTGAGGAGATTTCAGAGAAACATGTAGAAGTGAGAAAAAATTTAGGCTTGATTTTCCGATGCTTTATTGTGTCCAGTATTCAAGCAGTAAACTAATGAATGGTGAATTCCCAGCTGTTTGTTGGTGAATATTTAGGCTTTCATTCTTATTTCAAACTTTAGCATTCTTGAGAGAGGGAGGGTTACTGTAGAAAGTAAGGTCGAGAAATGTTTCAAACCAAAACAAATAATGTCAAACAGTTGCTAGGGTTTTCATGGTATTGTAATAAATACTTCAGTTGGAATAGACCATATTCGTATTCTCGGCATTGGATTGGAACTAGCTTGAAATGGAGGCTCATGCGGGAGAATATCATTAAAAAGAGATTAATGTAATTTGCATTTGAAAAACCCCCCCGCATAGCCTCAGTTGCAAGCTAGTTCCAGTCCAATACGGAAAATACGAATAGGGTCTATTCAGTGCACTCACATGAGTTTGCCCACAGACTGTTCCTGCTCGATTGGATCGAACTCAACATTTTTCAGAGAGCACAGCAACTCTAGTTCCTTGCTCTTAGCCTGTAAAAGAAAGACAAAACAATGCAATGCAGAGCGCTTTCTCCAGAGGTCGTTCGTAAAATCTAACCCAAAGTTAACATACAAAGTGCTAATAGAACGAGTTCACTAAAGACAAGGAGACTTGTATTCACAGCATAACAATTGAGTGAAACCTGCCACCTTTCAGATGCCGGTATAAGCTCAGTACAGTTATGAAGACATTTGCATGGGTATAGTAGATAAATGCTTGTAACAATATCATGGCAGCATATCCTAAGAACAAGCCCAGATATTGTTAAATGTTTCTCGTGCCTGCACGGACAATAACCTGTGAACAAGCATCTTTTTCTTTTAGGGAGGCAGGGAGATTACACGGGCAGGTACTCTACTACCCTGTGCTAATTGCTACGTTGCTGTTGCTGCCGTGTTCTAATCTGGGTTACTACAACTATGTGTTTCACCATACTTTGCCTTCTCTTTGCCCTTTGACAGACGCACTGTAGCTGAAATCGGACAAAAGCAACAGTTAAATCAATCAAGGAGGAGACTGTGTACCTCTTGTAAGTGGAAGTCATTGAAGAAGGCAGCACTCGGCTGTAGGATTCCTTCACGCACATCATCCAGCTCGTGAGCCCACTTCTGTTCCATCTCCGCCATGTTCTGAAGCTGTCTGATCAGACCATTCAGTCGACTGAACACATCTTTCATCACGCCACACAGGTGCCTGTACTCCTCGCCCTCTGTCTCCGTCGCCTGGAGAAGCTCCAGTCCATGCACAGTCTTGGTGAGCCTCAGGTGGTTGATGACACACCGCAGCACCACTTCCTCGATGGCGTCAGACTGGAGGGCTTGACGCAGACTGGGACGGAGGGTGGGGGCTGGTACGCCTGAGTGGATCAGGTAAAATATGAAATTTAACGTCTTGGTTTCTATCATTACTATTAAGGCTTAGTTTTGTTACTGAAATCATTTTCTTGAAAGACAACTGCGCTTGGTACGACAGGGTCATACATCTGATGGATGAAGGAGTACTGTTAAACATGTTCAATGAGGAATTGTAAGTCGGATAAAAAGTCCTCTTGAACACATTCTCAATTTCTTAGCTGAAGGAGCTCATATTTCCAGAAAACTGAAAAAATAAACGACTTAAGACAGTGAGCCAGGGTATCAGTTCTTAGCATTAATTCTCCTACATGTTTACTACATGCTCCTTTACATATTCGTTTTGAGAAATTGGTGTTACATCAAAACAATATGCCCTGACTGTGCGCTTTATTCCCTTAGGAACAACCCTTACCTGCTGCACCTCTAAGACGTTTTAAAAGTTCAGGAGAAAGTTTCGAGCTCGGTTTGGACACGATACTGTCAAGACTTGTAGTGGAACCCTTTTCTGACTCAACAGTAATGGTAATCCCGGAAGTTCCCGACGCTCCCTCGGCAGTAGTCGGCCAAACACACCTGGCGTGACAAAAAAGAAATACCTCAATCACAGGACGCAAGTAGTCACTCTATCGGCAGTCAAGCGGGAATAGAAAAGCGTGACTTGTGTCACGCCTCTTCTTGTAGCACTCAGTACTCGACTATTAAAATAGAAGTGCTTTTGGAAATCCTTAGTTAGTCCACTTGGCTTTAAACTCTTCTCGAAAGGATTATACCTTTTACAGACAGAATTAAGCGTCCAACAATTAATATCGCCCGCGGCTTTTGCCACAAAAGAAGCTAAGAAATACGGACAATACAATACGTCACTATGCCCTAGTGGCAACTACCAAAGAGCCGTCAAGTGTTTAAACTAGATCTTAATAGGATAATATGAAACGTTAACTTTTGCGATGCTTCAACACGAAGAAATAGTTCGATCAACAAGGAATACATCTCACGAAACCATGCAGAGACCATTAGTCTTATGGGTCTTTGCTATGATTTCCACCGTCAGTTCCTGAGCAAGTTCAGACGAGCTCTCAATGTATACCGTACCTTTGCAGTAGCTTCGAATCGAGCAGATGGTGACAGGCATCTTCTGCCTCAGTACTTGGAGGACCCTGGTACCTAACGTTCAGCAAGCTGTGGGTGAGCACAGAGAGGCCAAGGCACAAGTCGTCAAAGAACGGTAGCTTGGAAGATTTTTCATCGTGCTCCTAAAACGAAAACGGAATGCTGTAAGGAAACTATTAATACCCTTTAATTCGCCCCTTAACAGCTACACGTACTGTACTTGTTCATTGACACAAAGCAACAGTTTCTTTATAAAATTATCTCTTGAACAACTATGACTAACATTAGATGCAATTTGAACTACATTTGTGTTAACCCCAATTGCTCACAGAGTTGCATAAGCCTGTGTCATGTATATAAATGAATGTACTTATAATGTATTACAAAAACATTTGCTGGAGAAATTTCTTCAGGAACCAAAAGGTTAATAAAGAGATTTTTGAGAAAGGAAACTTTTTCGTTATTGTACCTTGGTGCTAATAATGCAGCTAAATCCCCACACAGCATTGTCAGGAGTGTTACGCTCTCGTGTACTCTTCAACTGAAAGGAGATGGTCACTGCGTCACCCTCCACCTTGACAGGTTCCTTGGGCCAACCTAATCGTATCACTCCTCTACTACCCACACCGAACGAGTTACCACCATACTCCGCTACTTTACGACCAGTGGTTGTCTTGCCGGCATACAGAATCACCTGAAGATGTGTGAAATCACACATGTTATCAACAGCACTTGTAATACATAGGGTAAGTATGACAGTGGTATACAGGTTAAACGTAACAGCTGGTATTGAATAAGTACCGTATTTACTCGATTAAGCGCCCTGGGCATTTATCAAATTTTTGGACCTTGAGAGTGGGCGCTTATTCGAGGCGGGCGCTTATTACATTTTCACCAGTTTCAGTAAGTAGTAAGTTTATTTTGCAACAAGATAATAAATAAGAACAAAACGTGAAGATGTACCAAAGCAGAATTTTAACTGTTCATTAAAAGTTTCTTTAAAAAAAAAAAAAAAGTCAGTTGGTCTTGAGGGAAATATGTAAGTAGTACTTAGTCAATTTCAATCACATTGTCACTAAGGGCAATTAGCGAACTCTCTAGTGCTGCCTCCTCGATGTCTGACAACGTAACGTCGACAAATGAGGGGTGCGCGCTTATTCGACGTGACTAGGAGTATTTCTACCACCCCTGGATGGGATGGTGGTAAATCGCCGGTGACCATAGATACACCTGGCTGGAGAGAGACACTGTGAGAGTAAAATGTCTCGCACAAGAACACAGCACAATGTCCCCACCCAGGGCTTGCGCCCGGACCGCTTGATCCTGAGACGAGCGCACTAACTGCGAGGCCACCGATTAATTGTTACCGCGAGTTTTGCCCAGTTGTTTGGTCAACTAGAAAGCAATAGAAAAATCCATGGTATAAACCCTATTATACATTGTGCTAGTACGTGATAGGTAACTGCTCTTGTATCTGCAAAGACTAACTTTTATGCAATTTGGGGATGGGGTTGCAAAGTCTGTGCTTCTGTTACATCACTCTCCTTGCCTTCAAACCTCACAACTTTTGTTATACCAACTATCTTTCTCTTTGCAGAAGCGCTTTCTATGCAGGCAAACTAACAGGTCTTCTATAAACGTCAGTGATATGACTTGCCTTACCTTATCATATTCGTATTGTGTGGCACACCTTGGATCGAACGTGACGAACAAACAAGATGCCCCAGGTAACACCACTGTTTTACAACACTGATATTCGTCTCTGACAGGATGAGGACTTTCTACTTTACGAGGGCTTGACCATGGTGAGGGAACAGCCGGGGATGAAAGAGAAGGCGCTGGCGTGGCATCTCCAAGTGAATCATCTCCAGCGGATTTCAACTCAGATATGAAGTAGGCTACCTGAACGAATAGTAAAGTAGTGTTAGTCGGTACACAATTGACAATCTCAACGGTTACAGGGTTTCATTTTCATTACTTATTTTCTACAACTTGGTTGATCATCTGTTAAGTCTTCAGCATGATGAACTGACAAAAGTCTGAGACCCCGGAACGGTTTTTATAGCGATTTTGTTTTTCTAACGAGTTTGTATGAAAACTGGATAGTAAGTACCCTAGAGCAAGAACTTGGTATCCATCAAATTTTTCCGCCGGAACAAAATCATCTTAGTACTAAATCTTAGGTGAATACATTTGACTTTATAGTTTAGTCCCCCCAATTAGTAGAGCACTTGTCCTCAGTTATTAAGACTGAGACTTAAATAAAGTTGTCATTCATTCATTCATTCATTCATTCATTCATTCATTCATTCATTCATTCATTCATTCATTCATTCATTCATTCATTCATTCATTCATTCATTCATCTTAATTTACTAACATTGAAACCGTCAAAATGTCATATTCTATATACGATTAGCTGTTCTTTAGACAATCCTCTGTGGTTCAAACTAGTTGTGCATCTGTCAGTCATCTGCTGGTGCAAACAGATTGCCGAATACGAACAATGGAAACTTAGACAACAGGAACGATGGTGATGGCAACGATCTAAGACAGCTATTCCTTGCTATTAGTTCAGCCCGCCGAAATTACAAAACAGAAATATTTCTTGTCCTTTTAAGACTTGTCATATTGAGCTACGCAATAAGAAATCAAACAAGATTAAGGTAAACCACTTACAAATGATTTATAAATTTTATAATCGTTAGACAAATCACGATAAAACCTTTTAAGCTCATCTTCTAGATCAATTGTTTCTTACCCTTGTCGCAGTCACTGTTACATTGGTGACTACTGGCATAAAATCCTTAGCTATGGGCAGTCTTAGACACTTCTCAGAGGACACAACTGATGCCAACAAAGGTAGTGTCTGTCCCACGAGGGTAGCCTTCATTACATGTTCCAGGCCTTCAACTCTTGATTTAACATCTCCTTTGTATTCCACTGACAGTTTGGAAAGTACTTCTAGAACAACATCAAGAATCTAGAAGCAACAATGGCCATTACATGTGGTCAAAAACCGCTCAATAAGAGTAGTTTGTTAGACTTATATGAACTTACAGGCACACAGGACAAAAAGACAGTCACTTGTACTATCCAACCAAATCACAAAGAACCCCTTATCATCATTAGCATTAGCAGTAAAGGACCTTAAAAATATCCCTCAACACATGGTTTGATTTTGCAGGAAATTGTTAAAAATCAAGGCTAGCTAATGACAAGTTCCTTGCCACTGCCAAAGACAACAGACACTGTCACCATCTTCTGTCACTCCTTGGTTGATCTGCGATGGCAACACACAAGACTGAAAGGTACTACCTGTACACTTTTGCCAATTATTGCGCAAATAAAGAGGCATTGCAACATGAGCAAACTTCAATTTTGCGAAAAGAGAGACCAGGTTTTAAAGAGGCATATGCCCAGTTTGAAGAATTCTTCAAAGGGGCTACATCGTAAAATGAAGGGTTAGGCATGCAAGATAAAGCCAGTAACAGTCACGCCATATGCAGCATATGGACTGAAAAGACCAACAATAACCCCACGACATACCTGTTGACAAACTTCTAAAATTTTCAATGACAGCTTTTGACATTCACCTTGTCTTAGCACATCGCTATTCACCTGAAAATCATAAGAGCATTGTATTAGCAAATCACAAACTGAAAAGGAACGGATTAAAAAAAGAAAAGTTGCAAAAAATAGATCGTACATGGTAAAAAGATTCCTCCTTTTTACAGTAATGATTCTGCTTATAAAGCAGGCAACACACTCGGAGATACTCATTTATAAAACAGAAAAACGTGACATAACCGGCATACTACCGACACTTTAAGGATTTGTCAGGACGGTGAAGTCTCGAGTTAACAAAGTGCCAAGGGACTTGGAAAATTGGTCCGTTACATCGAGGGTCCGTTATATCGAGGGTACGTTATATGGAGGGTTCGTTATAACGAAATTTGCGGAAAAACAGCCAAAATGTTCGTTAAGCCTGGTTCTCATATGCCGCCGACATACCTGGGACACAGCCGCCGGCACGGCCTGAGACACCGTTACGGCATATGTGAACATTTATCGCCGAAACAATCTGTCCCAGGCATTGATCGCCGGCTTGCCTGCGAAGTTGAGCTGAGTTCAACTACGCAGACAGGCCGGCGGTTGTCGGCGATGAAAATATTTTGTGTGAACATCATCTGCTGACGCAATGTATGACATAACAACTCGATTTTTCCCACAATCCCACATTTACAGATGGCATGGTTCAAAATTGCGCCGATTCGATTTGCATTTCGCGCCAATTTGAGTATGTCGGCGATCCATCGCAGATACGCCGGGGACCCACTGGAACAGATCGCCGAACGTTGTCAGTTGAAACCGTAGACTACGTCGCAGGTAGGTCAGCGGGATACCAGAACCACGCTTTATATCGAGATATAGTTCATTATTATTTAGTAACAGTGTTACGTTGCACTACCCTGAACACTGTGCATAACTACTGCACTGAAAAACTGTAGAGGATAAAAAAAGAAATCCACCGGATAAGTCACTATCCAGTAGAAGTCGCAGTTGGTTTTAGTAAATAGTTTGAGCCCCGGAGTATCAGTAGTTGGTATAGTGTGATCGTCCGGGTGAGGGTAGTTCTGAAAAGAACTGTTGTTGGTGACTGACAACCTGAGCGGAAGTCATCTTCAGAGTCAAGTGAATAGTGTTTGTCAGGCGATAATGTTATAAGTCTGGTCCGTTGAACGTGATTGGTCAGTTTAGCCACGATTGTATTAGCTGAAAGACTCGTGTAAAGTTCATCCGTCATTGGTGGGTTTCGATCCGTCTTTTGTTGGTCAAATTGGTCGATTTTTGGTCCGTCTATTGTTAGTCAAATTAAGTCGGTCTGTTAGAAGTCCGTTTGTCGGTTTCGTTTCCGTCATGGATAAGTCGTTTGTAAGGCGCCGGTAGTTGCTGACATCTGCTAAGTGGCCTTTGTTCTACGTTAGTGTACCAGCTTTCCAGAGTCAGTCGTTGAAAATAGTTTGTACTGTAGGTTAAGCACTGAGCAGAGTCCCAGTCAATGTTGTGGTTTGTCAGTTTTGCATTTCATTTCATTTCATTTATGATTTCATTTTATTTTGATGATGTACAGCAATGTGATTGTTGGTATCACCATTTCTCGGGGCTCGTTTGTGTTCAGTCAGTCTCGTGTTAAGGTTTCTGCCAGTCTCACCAATGTAGGAAGCCTAGCAGTCGGAGCATTTGATCTTGTAAACTGCTCCCTGTCTGTTGTTAGGTTCGTCCCTGTCTTTCACTTTGGTCAGTAAGTGTCGTAACGTAGTTGTAGGTTTGTGGGCTACACGGATGTTGTAGGGCTGTAGGATCCGTGAGATGAGATGGAGATGGTCTCAGAAGTACCCTTAATGTACCCTTAATGTAAGGTATAGTCACTGTAGTAACAGGTGTAGGGTTTGTTAACACTCATTCACTGGATAGCGTTATCCATCTGTTGAGGTCCGAAACTAACTAGACCAAGCCATCAAAAACAGACAATACAGTCTAAAACTTCATTTCACACAATGAAATGTTTAACTGTCTCCATTTTACAAAGGGTCAACAAAGGACCAAAATTCACAAAAGCGCAGTTTAGCTCGCTCAGTCAGACGCGCTCGTCCTTCCGGCTTTTGAGCGACAGAAGTTTACAAGTTCAAACCTATGTCATTATCGAGTACAAACGCTCAGCTTTTCTACGATAGCAATCCAAAAACAAGGAATCTTCTCAGAAATGCAAGTAATAAAAGTTTCTTCCAGTACTTCTGGCGTTACAAATACAAATTATATGACTATGCCTCATCTAAAAAATGTTATAAATAATTATCGGAAATCGGTTTTCTGGAACCTTAATATCTCACCAAAACATTGCAGAAAAAAAAATATATTGTGAGGTCACGTATTATATTTTTGTTACCGGGGAAGGGGGTTGGGNGAGGGGAGAAGAAGTTTACAACGGCCTACCAAGCTAATCTGAAGCCTTAAGTGACACCAAGTCACAAAAGACATACCGTAAATCTTCGAATTAGCGCCCGGTGCGCTTATTTCAAATTTAGGAGAAACTGGGGGACGCTTCTTCGATGAGGGCGCTTAATCGAGGCGGGGCGCTTATTTAATTTTTCCAAATGTAGCCTGACATGATCATCTGCGCGTAAACAACAACATAAGCTGTTTATCGACACAAAAAGCTGATCTTTATGATCCTAAAGTTTAAATCGCGGCACCGTTAGTACGTAACGTGTTCAACGTCTTCACTTAGCGCGTTCACAAATTGAAACAATGTACAAATCTAATACTACACGACGAAAACTATACATCCTTTGTTGTCTCATTACTCGTCCACAAAATGGGGGGAGGGTAGGAGGCGCTTATTCGAGGAGGGGCGCCTATTTTAAATTTTGACCGATAGGAGGGGCGCTTATTCGAAGGGGGCGCTTCTTCGAGGGGGGCGCTAATTCGAGGATTTACGGTAGGTAACAAGTACCTCAGCTAATATGATAACGCTCATCTGCTATTTAATTTTGGAATAAACAGACAATCAGTTTTGAAACCTCTCTGCTGATAAATTCTAAGCAAAAAAAGTAAGAGTACATTCGTATTTCCTTTGCACGAATGTTAAATTACACGAACCAACAAATACAGCATGAAAGATCATATATCACCACACGCGTATTACACAATTTGGTTTGTTGACAATTAAGACTTTTTGTTCGCCATAGAAATGTGACGCCATACTTTTAAAAGACCAGATAAACACATTGTTCGTGAATTTCAAACACTAACGACAATTGAATCATCTACTTCAATATGTATACCTTCCTATCTCTATAACTAGTCACGAGAATACTTCCGTCTGGTGCTGTGGTTATTCCAATAGGTCCTCTTAAAACAGCGGTACTTTTACCAGTAAAGCGATCGTCTAAAGAAAATTGCTGAACCCGGTCGTTTCCGTAATCACATACAAGAAGATTATTGGAACTGTCTACATGCATGAGGTACGGCTGATCAAATTGTCCGTCTTGATTCCCTTGTTTCCCAAACTTGTACAAAAAAGTTCCTGACTGATTAAAAGCTTTAACGCAGTGATTGTCTTTATCCGAAACGAAAAAGATGTTTTTGAAAGGAATGTAGCCAACTGGATGGTTGAGTTTCTCTGGACCACTGTCTCCAAATATGGAATGAGTTTCACCCTCTTTGGATATCACCTGTATCCGATTATTGCTGAACTCGGCTACAACAATGTGTCCTTCATCATCCGAACAAACATCAAATGGATTCTGAAACTCTCTTTTTCCTGCACCACTTTTTCCAAAGCTTTTCACAACAGTTCCTGTCTTGATGTTCAAGTGTTTTATTTTATGATTCCCGAAATTTGCAATAAGAATCTCGTTGTTGTTCAAAACAGAAACGCCGCCTGGGAACTGTAATTGTCCAGAATTTGTGCCTCAGCCACCAGTTTTCCCTAAACAGTTGCCTTCTTTATCGAAAACGAAAACACAATGTCCAAGTTGATCTGTAACAACCATGTTACGTTCTATATTAAAAGCGATTCCAAATAACCCTTGAGGAGTGTCTCCTTGGAAGAATTTTAAGTCCAAGTTACCGACTACAACAAGCTCACGTTCTTTCACCTGCGTAGTAAAAGGACAGGTCAGAAGTTTATCACCATTGATCTTCATTTCAATGCTGTAAGCGCCCGGCACTATCGGAGTAAACTTCACTTGAAGATTGCCGTCTTCTTTCTCGCTAACAATCACATTGGTGACATCTTTAGCGGGTTCTATCAGAACTTCAACTTGATNGGCACTATCGGAGTAAACTTCACTTGAAGATTGCCGTCTTCTTTCTCGCTAACAATCACATTGGTGACATCTTTAGCGGGTTCTATCAGAACTTCAACTTGATCTTTAAGGTCAGCCTGGGTACTCGTCTTCCCTTCAGATGTTTTGGGGCATAACGTAAACTCTGCTTCTACACCAGCCTGAAAACTTTGATCTAGTCCTTCAAGCCTTGATCGATTTGCGTCGGCCTTAATGTCCACAGTCTCAATAAAACCCAGTTGCAAGCCTTCTTCACGGGTAGCCGCGGAAAACTTGACGAATGATGTCTCGCCGTGTTTTGGAACTTCAGTAACACGAAGCACTTCAAATCTCTGCTTCAAAGTTTTCTTGTTCCTCATGATATCCGAGCTTGAGCTTGTCTCTATCAAATTATTAGCAAACTCAACCGCTTGGTTCATTTGTTTGACCAGAGACTGTGCTTCCTGTATGGCGGAGTTAATTTTCTTTAGTTTTGTCACGCGTGTCTTCTCGAGTGAGATAATCGCGTCTCGCTCGCGCACACGGATTTCTGCGATCATCTGGTCTGCAGCTTGCGAGACTCCGCGTTTTGCAGTTGCGACATTCCTTTCCAGCTCAGAAGCCGTTCCTTCAAATTGTCGAATCACTTCGCTAAGCTGCCTTATCTTTTACTCGATCATTTCAGTGCCTGACATGATGTCGGGTTTCTCGTCACGAGCTGCTGTCGAGCAAAACAATTTCGTGGTTTCGGTGATCCGTAACTATGCAAATTTGGCACACACAAGCTTCACACGAGAAGCAGAAGAATCGGGTGACTTCCTTCTCGTGAAACTCCTGCGAGCAAAACGGTTGTCGCTTCAATAAGGCTTCGTAATCTTCTGCTTTAAACTCATTGACTGGTGTAACTCTGTGCCCTTNCAGCACGACTGCTGGGTTTGTTGTGTTTTGAAAGTCACGATATGCTAATCGTTTAAATTACAATCAAGTAAATCTTATCAGGTTTGTTCTAATTCATCACGAATAGGCTGTCATATCATTAGAAAATCTGAAATTAACGATGCAATAGGTAGCGCACAAATCTCTCTGAGGATGGTAAGCAAAATTTGATGTTTTTTCTATGCCGACTTTAATCCTCCCACCAGCGAGTTGAAAATGGCTCTTGTCTGACCCTCGTCTGGGCCTTTGGAAATTGACGTTTTTATCAAGAAGCTAAATATTGAGGTTGCATTGTAAGCTACTTCAGTTCCGCGACCCGCCACAATTTTCGGTGCAATCCCGCAATCTAGCACAATTTGGAATGTTTATCCCGATCCCGCCTGGTTAGAGTTGCAGTTCTCCGCGTAATGTCCGTGACGTGTGATTTTCGTTTTTTCATCCCGTATCCCGCCGTCAATTTGAAAACCCGCATCCTCCCTGTCAAACAGGGCAAATTCTGCTCCCGTAGTAGTATTTTTATCCCGCATCCCGCTATTAAAATTTCTGTCGTTTCGCATCACGCCTCCATTTTTTCTCTCTTTCCGCATCCCGCCAAACGTATGTTGGACCCTCTATGTTATATCGAGGTTCGTTAAATTGAGGTTCTGCCACATGCGTTTACCTGTAACTTTGGCCGCTTCGTTATATAAAGGTTCGTTAAATTGACATTCCACTGTAGCAACAAAACGACCCGTCAAATGCTGCCGTCTCTTCATACTATTTTTTGATATACGTACAACTTGGCGGAAATATAAAACGGAACCAACCTCATCTACTCTAACAGCTGACCCCTGTTCATCAGAGAGTACGACATCCCTCCAGCTTGTGATAAAGACAGCTGTAAGATATTGTAGGACTGGAGAAAGGTCCTGTGTAAAAATAGGGAAATAAGGAAATCAAAGGGTACCTCAGTTTTAGTCTCAAAACAAACATTTCTCTTTGCTGACTGTCACACAATTCTATTGATGTTAGTTGGTTATTTTGCTCACAGATGAACTCAATTTCACTCTAGTTTTCCACAGACAAACTAGCACAATCTACCCATGGGCAAAATAGCCGTTCAGACTTTTTAACTGAAATAATAGCAAATTCTCTTCAGTTGATAAAAGTAACGTAGATAACACCAGTAACCCAGAGCAAATCCCTTGCAAAGGCATGATTTTTCTAGCTGAAAAAAACTTCCTCGTGAACAAAATTCTACATAATAGTATCATTCCCAAAAATACAGGAAATCTAAATTTCATTACAAGTAGATGCTGGATCTTCAGTGAAGTTAAAATGCGCCTTAAACATGATTAGAACTATAAAAGATTAATTAGGTAAACTAACTGGATGCTTGGCCACAAGTGATTGAAATGCCTCATCATCTATACTGCCACATTGCAGGATCATGTTACTGGACTCTTTGACACACACTTTGAGGGCTGCAAACACCACATCTTCAGCTAGCCTAAAAAGGATTATCAAAATCAAAGAGTTTTAAGAGGGTCCACAATAGGGTTCTCAGTTCCCGCTTTCCCGCCCATTTTTTCCTGTTAATCCCGCCATCCCGCCCTTCTTTACTTGGGAATCCCGATCCCGCCCACTTTTCAATAACGTTTTTCCGTTAATTATTAATTTGTTAAATAATAATTAAGGCAGAAACTTTACAAAAATAAACATTACAGAAAAGATCATGAAAGGCCTATCTGTATGCAATGGGTAGCANCCTAAAGCTGCAGACTAATTACATGTATGTATGAATGGACATTTTCCTAAGCCAGCATTTGAAAGGATAGCATACTTGTACCTGTCCAGAAAATGTTCTCAAAAACATATGCTTTTTTGTTCTTGTTGGGTGGGAGAGGTTGAAAGCAATTTTCGTTTTGTCATTATAGTGGAAAATATATATCTCAATTTAATAAAACATTTTTTTTATGAAAAGACAAATATTTAAGACAAAGCATTTGATAACCTGACTAACAACCATTTGGGGTTTGGAATCTGAGGAAACAATATAAGTCATCAATGACTACAGTCTGTTTGTTCATAAATTAACAGAAACAATCAGTCAGTTTGTCTACAAAATACAACTACAAAATTACTACAATAGTGGCTTGAAGATACGAATTTTATTTTCTCATATTAAAAACAATTTATTATACCACTTGAAAATAAAATTCATATTTCCATGCAACATAATCTCTATGTCTTGCAGATTAAACAGGGAATTCCTCACAGAGGGTTTCAATAAGGGCCGCGTGCAAGGTAAATTGGCCAGCAGTGAGAATGATTTACACTTCTTGGTTTGACCATCTAGTCAGAAAATTGTTATAATTAATAAAAAAGTTCAGTTACAAAGTTAACCTTTTTCCTGGCCTTCTAGCTGAAAAGGTTAGTAAAACCTGATTCCTAACCTGAACATTGAGACCTTGGAGGAGTTCTAAGCTGCTGAGACACCTGACTGCAAGATGGATGTCCACCATGCACCCATTCACCCATCTGACTGTTACCATAACTCCATAGTCGGCCATTAACAGAGTCCTGGCAAACACCTGTGATAATGTAATAATTTAAACAACACTTTTGAAATACAAGTTTTCAAAACTGGTGGTCACTGGTCAGGTGGCAAATATTTTTTTCTAAAGATTACTATTCAACTCTGAGAAACAACCCTGTTTGAAATTACAAAAGTGAGAGATCTGTCACAAAGCTCTACAAAACTCAATGTTGCATCTTTGTTTTAAAATGTGTAATACATATTCTACTGCTACAAAATTTGGGTATTATACAGTCACTTGATATCTAAACCAAACTCAGTTTTCTGCTATGGCCCATGGAAAAGTGTGTAGTGAATTGTCTGTTTACACTCTACATGTGTTTCGATCCAGACTTGCCTCACTAAATTTCAAACAATCTCAATTTCCAGGTTTTTAGTCTGCAAAGTCCTGTTTGTAATTCTGTTTATCAATATTTAACAACTCTTTCACAAGCGTGTTGGAGATGAGATGATAGCTAGCCAAGGAGGGCATAGCACCAAGTTGACTTTAATCATCTCACATCCATTACCGGTAATATCCCCAAAATATAGAAAACTAAATAAATAAAATAAAAATAAAAACTCACCAGGGTCTGGCAAACCAAGATTGGTTACTGAAAGGGTGGTTAATTAGCACTTAATGACTAGCCCCAAGGGAAACAGTGAGTTTTGTTTCCCCAAGACCCTCAATGTTGAGGTCGAGGGGAAACAAAACTCACTGCTTCCCATGGGACCAGACATTAATTGTTTTGTCATACCTCCCAACTTAAAAATAGAACAAAACTGCAAAGAAATCCTTTGCTTGAAGCCAGCTGGCTCACAAATTTGCCACAGTTTCAAGGAGCACAACCTGATCACGTGTGAGTCTAAAGTTCAAGTTGTTGTTTCCCTAGGGAGTTAGTGAGTTTTGTTCACCCTAGTTTTGACCCACAACACGTGACACATTCTCCTCCAATCGGAAAACGTATTTGAGTTGGGCGGTATAACAACAAAAATTATTTTCCACCTGATAAGTCACTATCCAGTGGAAAAGTGTTAACAAAAGCTATCTCTTTATCAACTGGATAGTGATATATCAGAGTCTACTGGATAGTACTACCTGCCTGTTGAACAACTGGGACCCAAGGATTAAAATGGTAGCTAAGAAACAAAGTGACTTACTCAGGCCTGGAATAACTAGATCTTGCCACTTGGGTGTGGCTGAGTTGACAACATTTTCATGCTTCACAGAAGAACCATCCAGGATTGAAAAACAATAATTCACTGGACCTGTAGGAAGTGATGTTAAACACAAACTTATGTATACTAAGAATCCCCTTGGCAATGTAATATTCTAGTGTACAAACTAAACCTTGCCAGTGATACTTATAAGATTGAGCAACCCAGTTTTGATGGAAAGTTTCTCTGGTCAAGGCAAGCTATAACTGGTCTGATTTTAAATGGTGACTCCCTTACTTTTAATATCAATAAAGTTGGTGTGCACAGTTTTCCTAAGGTTAGTGCAACAGGCAGCTTAATGTGGTTATACATGTACCTTGAAAAAAAAACTTAAACTTAAAAATTTAAGTTTGTAGGTGAAACCCTCCTGAGCAGTGCTTTTACGTCAGCTGTGCTGTTTGCATTTCAACATCTGACAAGAAGTTTCAGAGGAGTTTGTTTTTGTTTTTGTTATGCATCTGGACACATTTTAACATGAAATGGTTACTTGCCTTGGGCACTCTCTCTACCCTGACGTAAACAAAATACACCACTTTAGTTTAGGGGGTGGTGTGCTTCAAGTTTCACAGCTACAAGCTTGTGTAGGATAGTTATCATTCTATTTAAACCCTTTGGTGCTCGAAAAGTTAAAGCTAGGAGAGGTGATTCCTCTAGAAGCCATTTATCATTAGCCACTCCTGTTTGCGACAAATACATGTATGCGGATTTCTAGTTTTGTGAGAAGAAGAGTCTGTGTCATTAGAGGTGTTCGTAGACAAATGCAATTAAGATACAATTTATTTATTATAAGAAGATTTGATAAACAGAATGTGTCATACTTCTGTGTCCCCTGAGTGATAGCAGGATGGGTCCAGAAGGATTTGCAAGCTGTGGTACCACAATGATTAACATGTCACCACTGATAAACATGGCTGACTGCTTGAGAGCACTCATTGTCAATCCACAACTAACTATCTCTGAAATACAATACAAATGTTTTGTATCATTTATTGGCTTGATTCATCATTATTCATAAATTGTTCAGACGACTGTTTGCAAACTAATCACTCGTCCTTACTTTGAAAAAATGCACTTAAGGTTAGTGGATTTTTTCATTTCAGTATCTGCATTTTCATATAAATTAAATGTGTAGTCAATGATATATTACATCACTGTACTTCTTTTTGTACTTCATAATACTGGATGTGACTGACTGACTGGCTGACTGGCTGACTGGCTGACTGGCTGGCCAACTGGCTGACTAGCTGACTGGCTGACTGACTGATTGATTGATTGATTGATTGATTGATTGATTGATTGACTGATTGATTGATTGACTGATTGTTTGACTGATTGTTTGATTGTTTGACTGACTGACTGACTTCAGGACTGACTGACTGACTGACTGACTGACTGACTGACTGACTGACTGACCAAACTTACCATCTGCATCTTTCTGAGGAGTAGGAGTTGTAGGTGAACGTCTGACTGGTAATGGAGATGACAAAGAAGACAGTGGTTCCTCTCTCCTCATCACAACAACTGCATCACTACAGGAAGAGGCAAAAACTTCAAGCTCATCCTCACTTGATTCTAGTTTGAATTCTTGTAAACACAAATCCAGTTTTCTATTCTCTTGATCAGTTTGCTCTGATGTTTTCGTAGTCCAAAGCCAATACAAGTGAACCCCATCACTTAGAAACTGTATGGTCTTGTGTTGCAGAGAGGGTTGTACTCTATCAACCTCTGGCTTAATTGCATCCTTCAGCTTGACTGTTCGTATTATCTAATGAAACAAGAAAAGCAATATAATTACAAAACTATCACAAGGGGTCACCCAGGAAGTCGTCTTCAATATTTAACAATCAGATTATTAAGCTCAAATTTTCTATCACATGATAGTTCAAGAGGGTACAGCCTGAATCAACTGTCACACAGAAATTGAGAATGAATAATTATTTTAATTGTTTTAGTATAAATCTACAAGTTGTTCAAAACTTTATCTAAATCCTCTTTACAGACACTTCGAAAATGCAAAGAAGAGGCTCCTTTGTTTGTGAACAAGCACATACTGCTAGGCTACTCACCATCTACAACAGAATAGATAGCGAGTAGCTTGGGCAAATAAGAGAATGGCATTTGTGATAGAACACTCATAGATTTAACACAAATTGAAACAAATCCTGCTAACTGTGAACACTTTTTTATTATCATTATGAAACATGCAGAAAACACTCCTACTGAGAGATATATCTTACTTGCAGAGATATTGTATCCAAAATGTAGCACACACTTGAAGGCTCGTTGTCAAACACCTTCGGTCGGAACAATAACCAGCCTTGTACAATAGCTAACCACCCCTCCCTGAGATCAGCATTCCTTCTGCACATGCTCCCCCTGAAAGAACAAGACCAGACAATGATTGAAAGGACAGTATGATACAAAGGTAAAAGTCTGCATCAGGTCAGTAGCCCAAACAGCCGCAGCCTATCCCAGTTTCTGTAGCAGGAAGTAACTAGGAGTATTTCTACTCCCCCCTGGATGGGATGCTAGTCCATCACAGGGTTACCCCCAGTATAAAATTCACCGGTACCCATTTATACACCTGGGTAGAGAGAGGCACTGTGAGAGTAAAGTGTCTTGCCCAAGAACACAATGATCCTGGCCAGGGCTCAAACCTGGACCACTCAATCCAGAGTCCAGCGTGCTAACCATTAGGCCACTACACCTCCACAGTATACTGTACCTTTCCAGAGCTAATTTGGAAAGACTAGTATCTGAACTGCAGTCAAGCCTCTTAAAAAAGGACACTTACATATAAGGTGTAGGGTACAGTGCCCATATTATGGAGACAGAAGGTGTCTGTATTATTAGGTAAAAACTGTATGAATTCTGATTCCTTTGGGACCAAGTGAATTGTCCATATATCAGTATATTATGGAAGCATTTGGAATGGGCAGTTTGGTGAAACTTTTCCAAGATACATGGTAAATGCTTGTCTCTGTGCTCTCTAAAGAACAACCATATTACTCCACTCCAGAGAGTACAGAAGTATTACTCTCTATAAATGAGGTCATCGTCAGACTGTGTATACAAGATTATTTATTGTATGTTGAAAAGGATCAGACAGGAAGGAAAATGTTTAGCTTTAGGTCAATATGGCACAGAAAGCAAGTGCTCTAAGATCTGTACAACATGACCTAGAGCCAAGTATTTTCCAACTGCTGACTTAGTTAAAAAGACTTTATCATACAATCCAACTAATTGAGCTCGACTTTACTGGAAAGCTGGGGAATTGTCTTCTAAAATGTTCTGAATTGTATACACTTACTAAGTTGCTGGTATGCACAGAGCCAAACAGCTCTCATCAAGACCAGCTCATGACATTCCTCAGTCTCTATACACATCAGTGTGCAGTACAGTTTTGTATGGGATTAGGATTGTTGGACTGTACTCTGTGGTGTTATGACTACACTAGCACACGTTGCTTTATAAACAGTAAATATTCTTATCATTTTCACCTGAGTGTTCCATGTTTTCCAGTGCCAATTTTAACCAGACCTTCAGTAGCCCCACTAATGAGATACAGGAATTTCCCATCACAAACAACAGTATTTATCTGGTCATTGCTGTTAATGGAGTCTTCAGATTCAGTTAAAGTTACTTCAAACTGCCAACTAGTGATAAAACAAGATGTGTGCAGGCCACCAAGGTCATTGAATGAACCCTTCCTTTCATACTCTATAGCTTTTTTTAGTGTGCCACCTACAGGCAGCTTGCCCAACACAGTCCTCTGTTGTTGAAGAACTTCAAGAACTTGAATAAATAGTTGAATGGAGAGCCTGTTGATGAAAATAAATCACATAGGGTCAGTAATTACAGGTATCTACATTGGACGTTTTGTAATCAGATACCCATAGTTAAGTTGCTACACCATTTGCACATCACTTATATAAGCTTTAATGGCTTCCTCTGTGCCCTACTAGCCTGATTATCACCTAAATTGTACTCCACCAAGTCCCCGCCAATCAACTTATCACATATCCTTGCAAAAATGTTTTTCATTATTAAATAATACATGTATAAGAAATGAAAAATATATGCTTCCATTTTACCAGATGTAATAAAACACCTATGAAAGTTTGGGAGAATTTGAAAGTATGTAAACCTTGAGATTACATTTAATCTGTGACCTCTCCCAAATGGTCTCTCATGTTTTTACAATGTATCACATTATGTAAACACAAGAAATTTTCTGTTTCTAAATGTATCCAATCTTTGCATCAGATCTGACAGCAATAAGCCTTTCTACATTCAAAAACAGCTTCAAGCACATTAATTTGTCACCATTAACTCATATTTCGCATATCTCTTAAATCAAGCCTAATTAGGTTTATTAAAAATTACTTGGCCAAGCCAATTAGATTAAACAGCTGGATTAAGTTGTTACCTTCCACAGGCTAATGCGATGAGTGCTGCTACCAAACCCTCTCTTTTCACACCACACCGAGCTAATTCTTCATGTTTACTTCTATTTTCTTCACCGTTGGCTTGCTGCAACCAACTACAAAGAAGATCAGCTAGGCCTTTGATGCAGCTTACAGGTTCAACGGCTAGAGAGTTTGGAGCGCAATTTTGAAGACATTGCAGTAATAATTCCGAACATTGCCCAGCCAGTGAAGGATCTGTGCGACTTTGAGACTGTAGAATGGGAACTAAGAGAAGAAGACTAACATGGGACGAAAAAGAAACATCCTGCGGTTGTCCTTTCAGTTTCAAATCGGCCTTGGAAGTTTTCAGACCACCATGACTACCGGCAGGAGGTCGAGAAATTTTCGACGACAAAGTTGTTATTTTGGATTTCTGTGAGTGCCAAAGGCCAAGCAAAGCACGCTGTCGATAGTTGAAAAACTTGTAATATGAACCATGTTGAAGAGCACACGCATTCAAAAGACGCCTGCTGAGTTCCGCGTTTGAAGAAGTTTCAAACTTGTGCTCGGAAATGCACTCCACAAATGCGGAGCGCTCGGTGGAGATAAGAGGAGGTTGGAGAACCTCGACAACAAATTTAAGGCCATCGTCAAGAAAAATACTCTGTTCTGTGACAGAAGACCAGGCATCAGAGCCAGCTGTTGCAGTATTCGTCATCTTTCATTCATTGTTGTTGTAGATAAACATAGCGGAAGATCAACATGGCAGCTATTTCTGCTGATCTTTGAATTTGCCTCGCTTCAATGCATGTCGTGTAACGAGTCACGCAAAATCCTTTCATCACGTTTCATTACATTTCACCACTATGCTTTCAGACCTTAAAAGTTTCAGTTTTAACTTATTTGTACTTAATGTAGGTGGCTTAAATTTCAGCATAAAAAGTATTGAAACCTCAAAAGTTTCAGTTTTTTATCTTTTTCTGGTCAATGAGTGTTATAAAAATAGGTACAGGATGTGTACATGTGTCCATTAATTTGGACAACTGTTTGTAATTTATTATTTAATTTATTATTAGCTTTATTTGAAGAAAAATGCTGCAATTGCACTCAGAGCACTCGTTTCTTTATTTCTTTTATTTCCAGTTTTTTTCAATTTACTGCTCATTCGAAATGATGGGTAACACTACTCAAACATAGCATATAAATAGTAGGTCCACTGAATAAAAGTAGCAAATAAATAAGATAAATAAATAAGGTTGAAAGAAGAAATCCTCGTGAATTTCGGATAAAAGACTTTGTAGTTGCAATTTCTCATAATTCCATACAAAAGTTCCATACAGGGACAGGAATAAAACTTGAATTTCTAAAGTTATTCCTGACTTTGAACTACGAGGAAAGTTACAACAGCACTTTAAAAGTCTGGAATGTACTGGGTTAAATTGCCGGTTAAATTTCTTTTTGAACAATGTCCTTGTGAGTGAGCTGCTTAAAGTTGGAGCCAGCTAAAAACTACTCCAGGATTTCTCTTTCAACTTATTACTCCTTTTTAATACGACGAAAAACGAGTAAAAAAATCCAATTGACTAACGATCCTAATGACTTTTCCACTTATTTTTCATTAATTTTCTGTTTGACCCGTGTTAGGGGACCGGAGCGGACGGGTTAAAAGAGAAAGAAGCGTCAAGGTTCCTAGGGTCCTGTCTCCTCCTAGATAAGGCCCTGGGTACGAGGTGACGAAACGTGACTTGTTACATGATGTAATATGGGCACACTTCCAATATGGCGGACGGTGAGCTCGATTCTCCAACTCCAACTTCTAATGAACTATTTTGCACTGTTGCTTGAACCTTTCACTTAAATCATATTCCTGATTTCCTTATATTTCCTTAGAAATCATTTCAAATCTCCTGGTGGTCATTCTTGATGCCAATCCGGTGTGGTGGGGGAGAATTGTTTGTGAAGGAAATCCGTCGAATGGACACGAACAACAACAGGTCAGCGTAGCTTTAAAAAATTCTCAGCTCAGTTTTAACTTTTTTCTTACAAGTAGCTATGATACGAAATTTTAACTATTTTAGTTAACAGTCAATGTAGATTTTTATTAATTTTTCAGATCAGTTTGACACATTGCGTGGACAGTCTCATGGTGTTTTGTAACGCTCATCTAATGATGAAACACAACAATTGTCTTTCTTTCATTGTGTCACACACAAGCACAAGGTATGGCTGATCAATTGGCAAGCACATGTACTATTGATAGAAAAATAACTCTGATTAAAGTTCAAACACAATGTTTAGATGTATTCAGCCAGTTGGTTTATCTGTTTCCAATTGCTGGTTTCCTCTTTGATTCTGTTCTCCTGCACTGTTACTGGTGTTCAAAAAATAAATCCCTGGAGATATGTCTCGTGGTAGGATTTTGCAGATAGGATGTTGCCTCCCACCATGGGCAATAAGTAAGTGATTACATGCAAAATGGAAAATGGGCAGTGGGGAGCAGAGGTTCACACCAGTCAACCCCCTTGGACACTACCCACCTTACTGAATACTCTTCACCTCACATCCAATGCAGTTGTAGGTGCTACAGTGGTGGGTGGGTGGGTGTTACAGTGGTAGTTAAGTGTTTTTTAGGGTTGAACGATCTAAGTTCAATCTCGGGCCAGAATCTTTAGATTGTGTTCTTGGGCAAAACACTTTAATTTCTCTCACAGTGCCTCTTTCCACCCAGGAGATGGGGGTGGGGAGGGAATAACTCTTCAATGAACCAGCTTATCCAGGGAGAGCAGAGTCATTCCCTTTTACAGAAATGGAAGTCAATATGGATGTAGTTAAAACAGGCTAATGGCCAATTAAAATGGCTGACAGAGGGCTTACTGCCAGCTGAGATTTCAGTAGAAAACAAAGATTTGAGGTCATTTTGAAGGCACACAGATAAGTAAAGCTGGCTGAAATTCTTAATAAGCCTGCTTTGTCTTCTCTTAGCTACATCCCTGCTGAGTTAAATGTTGGCATGGTAAAACATCAAAGCTTGAAGACAGACTTTTATCCAATGTGCTTATGGAATGATTGCTAAAATATTGGTATTTTTATAAATAACTGGTGCTAGGTATACATTGTTAAACTAATGCTGTTGTGTTTCAAACAGCAAGTTTGTGTTTCCAAAAGAAAATGCTACCGACAGTGTCAATGACAATGCTCAGAAAGATCTCCCATCAGATGGGAAATATGAAGGGTTTGCTGACGTCAATGATGTCATCATCACTGAACTGAAGAGTCTGTTATCTACAGAAGATTCAAAAGGTACTACAGACATCGTTGTTAGTTTGGATGGAATTCCAACCTTACTTTTTCTGATCATACGATACCTGCAACACTGCAAGGAAGGAAATAGAATTATTTAATTAGTGCAATGTTCATGTTATCAACTTCCAATCAAATTCTCAGACATCATGTACAGATACATGTACATGTAGACATAAGTTAGACTATTCCTACATGTACCAATATGTTCCATTTTTACTTGAAACACTTACAAGCAAGCTACATGTACATTGCAAATGATTTCCTAATCTACTGTCAGTATGAATTTGGTAATGGCCACGTAAAACTTAGTGCATGAATTTTTGGATCTCATCAGCCAAAGTTGTGATGATCCCAGAATTAAAAATGTTCTCATTTTTTCAGTGGATGACCACAGCTCAGAGGTGCCTCCCACTCTTCTTGCTAGTGCCTTGACCATGGCCTTATGTTGTATCTTTTGCAAGCAGTGGTCAAATGAATTATCATAAATAATTATGTTTCAGTTCTTCACCCAATATAAATCTGTCATTTTCTGCAACCTTGCACAATCTTGTGGAATGATCTCAACCTGGTGACGAAATATCTACATAGACACAAGTTGAGTGTTCTCTCGGTGACAGCTAATTTTTTTGGAGAACACAGTTCTGTGTTATTCATCTTACCTAATCTCAGGTACATGCAGAAAAATGAACTAAATGCCTGAGTATTAGGACCTTTAAATTGGAATAATTATGAGTATGAGTATGAGATCAAGTTGAGTTCATCTTTCTAATATCAATCCAGTTACAGTCGAACCTCTACTAAGGGCCACCTCTCTACAAAAGTGAAGCCTTGGAGCTGACTGGCTCATAGCTGCTGGAGTTTATCCTGTTTTCTGTAGCATGAAGCGGCTAGGAGTATTTCTACTCCTCGTGAACGGGATGCTAGTCCATCGCAGGTCACTCCCCTGCAATTTGTTAGGTTTCCCCAACAATTCACCAATACCCATTTATACTCCTGGGTGGAGAGAGGCACTGTGAGAGTTAAGTTTCTTGCCCAAGAACACAACACAGTGTCCCTGGCCAGGGCTCGAACCCGGACCGCTCAATCCAGGGACGAGCGCACTAACCATGAGGCCACCATGCCTCCCACCTCTCTACAGCAGCCACACATGTCCGTTCCAGACTTATTTTAACCTCCCAGCAATGGCCACATCTCCACAATGGCCAGTAAACTCTGTGCCAAGGTTGGTTGTTGTGGCGAGCCTCAGGTTCGTCAGCACTGTATGTGCGATCCTAATGTTCCTGGAGTCCTTACTCCTCCTTGCTGCTGACAAGTTGAATAGAAGTCTGTTGGTACAGGATTGGTGTGGGATTGGTGTGGAATGTGATTGTCAAACATATAAGTATAAGGGTTGAGATCTCGGACTTGTATTCCCATCTGAATGTCCATAATTTTATTATACTCTTTCTTATCCTTAGGATTAGAAAATGATAGCCTTAACCTTTAAAATAGATATTCACAGAGCAGAGAAAGAATGCCCAGGTAGTATAATTGTAGTCCTTAGTGCATTATGTTCTTTGTAAGATGCAGATTATAGTGCTGTATTGAAATCTACTTAATAATTAAATAATTGATTATTTGATTAAGTAATAATTAATTAGTTGCTCCGTACAGTTTCAATGAAGACTTCATCAAACAGGCAGTGCCAATGGGAATAAAAAATAAAATTCTCAGAGCTAATGAAACATATTTAAGAGGAATTTTCAATAATAATTGGTGACAAGCTTATAGAACCTCTCTTTAAATATTATATCTACAAACTATTAGGGTAACTTGAGACCTTAATATTTCATTTAGGGACATTCCCCATTAAGTTATACTAATTTAAATAGAGGTTAAGTAGCAAATACTTAATATATGACTGATGAAATGTCTCCTTTTAGTTGGGCAGAAACTCAAGTCTCGAATTTTGGTAAGTTTAAAAGATGGCTTATAAAATTGAATGCTCTAAGAGAGATGGATCCATTTTAGAAGCTGACTAGAACTTTAATTTTTCAATTGCTTTTTGCCACAGGTTTTGAAAGCTGCACCAGATGTATCTACACAATATATGCCAATAATGAATTGCATTTTTGCTGCTCAAAAAAGTGTAAGAGAATTAATATATGTTTAACATATATGGTAGCCAAAAATGTATGTGCTGTATCAAGTTTCTGAAAATACTTTTGAAGCCCCAAATCAGAGATGCGAAACTCCTTTTAATAGTAAATGCAAAGGCATATATTAAGCCTTATGTTAGTTAAAAATATGGAAATATGTTACTCAGTATAATTTACTGAATTCTGCTTTCACTGAGTTTATGGTTTAAATTTGATTTTGAACCATAAACAATCCGTCCATTAAAATTACCCCCCAAAAAACCCATCATCGGAGCAAATAAGCTAAGCCCAGGACGTTCTTTCACTATGTGTTATTTGACATTTGTTATTTTAATTAGAACACTGTGATCGATGCCTGTGTACTAGATGAACACTCAGGATTTTTGCAGCAGGTATGGTTAAAGTATGCAACAGGTTTTTTGTGTGTGTGGAAGAACATGTTTATTTATGTTGTTACATCTCAGAGCTGTCATTAAGGTCATAACCTGTAACACCTGTTACTGCCGAGTATCCTTGATGAGCCCTTGATGTTACACCAGTGAACTTGCTTGTTGTTGACATAATTTACCCACAAAGTCACAAGTTTGTTACGGGTATGAAAACCAAGGCAATAGGTGACTCAAAATTTAATGACAGCCCTGCATGTAGAAACCACAAAAGTTGGTTGTTCCCTGAAACTAGAGCCAATGAAGACATTCTTCCCCATCTTTCCTTCTTTTGGTCAACATTTTAGCCAGAAGTATAATTTGTGATCAACTTACCAACCAATTCCTATGCACCAATTGCATGCCTATAGAACATTCACTAATTTACAAAGTAAGAAAATCGGTGAGCCTCGTGAAGGGGGTGTAATCT